TCTTTCAACTCCAACTGCTGTTGGTCCTCGCCTGTAAAAATTCACAGTCTAGTAGAGGGAAGTAAGGTAACTATACTGAAAAAAATATAATATACTTTAGAATACAAGTATATACAATGACAACAATATGGTAAAGACAAACAACTTAGGAATTAGGAACTGTAATCGGTGCAATGACTAATTAGGATTCAGGAAGACTAATGGTAAAACATACTTTCGCTAGACTATGCATATTTGTAATAGGTGTTTTACTTTTCTTTCGTTCTCAATTGGGGAGAGGATTGGGGTAGAAGCATGAAAAGAAAGATTCTTGCTGACTGAAAATATTTTAATATAATTTTTTAAAAGAATATAAGTTTACATAAGAGAAGAATAAAATCAGAAACTAGATCAATAATCCCAAAGGGCACTTACAAGAATATTTTTATAGTTACAATCTTTGTAGATCTTTAGCGGGGGAAGATGTGAGAAGATAGACACATTATTAATTTATCATTAAGACATACATCACTGGGGAAGAACAGATTACTCAATTTGTTTTTGGCTCTATAATGGACCTTTATTGAGTTCATCTGGGTTATCAAGAAAACATTTTTTACTACTGAGACCCAGTCAAGTTTAAATAGTCCATCCAATAACATAACACAAATATATTTTTTATAATCCACATTTTCACCAACCACCAATTTCAAAACTAGTCTTTTCAAATTTAAAAACAGAAATTTCAAAAGGGTAAAAGGAACAACTTATATCAACATAACAAATACACCCAAGTTGCAGTGATGTTAAACATGTCTAACATATTACAATCTAGAAATGGAGAGAAAATACACAAAAGTATAAAAATTTATAATTAATGGTATTCTGTAGCCAAAGTCAATAGTGCTGGACAAGCACAAGTGCAATTTGTTAGAGAAATGAGACCTGTTTGACAGTTTTATGTCATCTCTTGTATTATAAAGGACTAGGACCTTTAAAACAGTTACATACATTCCTCTTTACAAAGTGAAGGTAAAAATAAAGCAATATATTTCCAACTAAGCACCATTACTTAACATAACAAACAGAGAATACTTGTAATGAGTTGTAGAAGACTCTAAATGAGGCAATAATGAAAATAGGAAATTCAATTCTTAGACAGCAAAGATCATGTTACAGGGAACAGCTATAGGATGCTTCTTGGCAAAGTAGCATGAGGCGGCTAGCCAATTATTAACACTAACATTAATGCCTATAAAGTACCCTGGAAAGCTTCTCTTTACATCTTTGGTATGTGGTTTAAAAAAAAAAAAAACCTAAAAGATACCTCAACTTTATCCCTACTGTTTCTTTTTAGTCCCAAATGAATTTGCCTAGAGGAAGATTATAACTTTAGAAAGAGGATGAAATACACCAAAATAAATTAAGCTCCAGGAGGGAAAACAAAAGTAAAAGGTCCACAACAGATCTTATTTCTGCCATGAAAATAGAAATTATGGCCTTATTTTGCTGGTCAACTAAGCTTGAAAAAGTCCTATAAATTATTCCTGCTATGTCTCACTTTCCATTTCTTTGGAACAAAGTTTCAAATAGCCATCATCATCCAGAGTCAAGGGACAATTTATAATGTCTAAACAACAACAAAAAATGTTCATTTGATTTGTTTTACTTCCAGCACAATACTGGTGGTAAGATTACACCTCTGCTCCTTCCCAAAGTACTGTATGTCATCTATACAAATGGCGTAGTTAAAAAAAAATAAATCAAACATGCCAAATTTATACAGCTAAATGAATGTTGACCTCTTCAACATAATCACCAAAGGAGATTTGCTTATTCCAATGATGCTACCATTGCTCAAAACACTTTAGGAGGAATTCCTTGATTGGAAATGCCTTCAGAGGTAGCGTCACATTCTTCTGAGTGTGCTCAATGATAGCAAATATTAATTTTTGAAATTAAAAGTCACTTGAAGCCAAATACAGCTAATCAGGTGAGTGATCAAATCAAATAATACTTTGGGAGGCAAAAAAGGTGATGGGATAAAGTAATGAGACCAGTAAGTTTGGCTTTTATTTTTTCATGTCTCAAAACATAACTTTGAAAGTCATCTGTTAGGATAGGCAACTTACAAACATAATCATGGAGTAGGGTCAGGCTCTATGACTCAGGAAATAGAATACCTCCCCCCACACCACAGTATTTCTCTCATGAATTAAAATCTTAAAGGGTGAGGTTCATCGGAAAAAGGCCCCTCAAAAAATAAACTAAATAAACAAAAAGATAGAGAAAGAAAGAGAAGGCTGATCTGTGATCACTAAGAGATGACTGGTACATAGTAAAACAAAGCCTTCGTCCTTCAAAAGCCCTTCCTTGAATGAATTATACAGAATGAACAAAGCATTTATGTGTGTGCCAAATAATGAAAGACTAGGTTTCAGAATAGCCTAAAAGGTTAAAATATTAAGGAGAGAATAGAAACAAATTAACAGTTCTTAGATAAGGACATCACAAATGAGTGCTCAAGTTAAGAGGAAAGCTCAAGGATGGGAGTGGGACAAGGAGAATTCAGATAATTTCATCATCTGAGCTAGAAGATGGGTAGATAGATGGCCAGATAGACACAGAAAGAAAGATATATATACACACACACATAAAAGGGAAAAAAGATAATAACAATTTAAGCATACTCAATTTGGGACAGGAAAGGAAAACAAGGCAGAGGAGTAAATCTATAGGTTGATCAATTTATTGGGATCAATACTAGGATCAAATTATTGTAAGCAAAACTAATTGCAAGAACCACGTGCTAATTTAAGGGAGGAGAGAAACCACTAAGTTAAATGTACTTTTGGAAAAATTATATTTTAAAGGCCTAAAAGTTAAAGCATAGAGAAAATAGAATATTATCGCATTATAATAAAATTTAAAAAGGACAGTTTCAGAGAAACCTAGAAAGACTTCTATGAACTGATGCAAAGTGAAGTCAGTAGAACCAGAAGAGTAATTTATAGAAAACAATACTGTAAAGAAGAAAAAAAACTTTGAAAAATATAAAATCTCTGATTAATGCAATGGATATTAGAGGACTAATGATAGAGCTAGCTACCAGAGAGGTGATGGATTCAAGATACAGAATAAGATATATGTTTTTGGACACATAGTGGGTACTTAGTAAATGCTTTTTGGAACAATCAATGTGGGATTTTGTTTTGCTTAATTACACATACTTGTTATAAGGAGTTTCACCCATCCCAGCTATAGGGTGAGAGTTGGGAGGGAGAAAGAATCTAGGGATATGATAGACTAAAAAAAAAAAAGAAAAAGAAAAAAAACAAGAGAAAGAAAATAGAGTTGATGAAGCACAGTTTTTAAATGAATGAAAGAGAACAATAAATAGAAAGGCCAGAAAAAATCACTGACAATCAGGACAGCTTTGAAAGTTACATGCTGAATGTATTACATATTTTAAAAGATAAACAAGCCTTACATAATATAGATTCACAGTTTCATTTACAATCTTCTTCTACTATTATACTATGTAGATGTAAATATATTTAGTGTTAGTTAAGTTCAGAATAAAAATAAATTTTTCAAAAAAGAAAATTTATGCTCCACCAGGCCTGGCTGGTGGTATATTTACACATGGAGATATTACTTTATTTATCTTCATTCTGTTATTTCTAAATTTATATATTCTTCTTCTTTCTCCTTTTAAATATGCCCCAGAAAACACATACACACATTTACATCATGGTCTAAATGGGAAAATTGAAGTATATACAAATTTCTTAGCATCCCATAATATCTTTATCAAAATTAATAATGAACCAAAGCAGGAAGTCATTTCCTGATAGCTAACTGATAAAAATATATGAAGTCTCCAAAAGAATTGCAAATTACAAAAAAATCATATGAGAGAATGTTCCAAACAACTAGTAAGAGAAATTAAAATTAAAAGAATTCTGAGGTTTCATCTCACAACCCTCAAAGTAGCAAAAATCACAAACAGACAAAAATAGTCTATATTAAATAGGGCAGCTAGATAGCACAGTGGATAGAGCACTGGACCTGGAGTCAGGAAGACTCCTCTTCCCAAGTTCAAATCTAGCCTAAGACACTTGCTATCTATGTGGCCCTGGGCAAGTCACTTAACTTTGTTTACCTTAATTTCCTCATCTGTAAAAACAGCTGGAGATGGAAATGACAAACCAACCACCCTAGCATCTCTGCCACGAAAACCCCAAAAGGAGACACAAAGAGCCCCCCATGACTGAAAAACAGTTAATCAACAAGTCAATGTTGAAAGTGCTATGGAGAGGCAGGCAAGTCAATATTCTTGCTAGTGAAGCTGAAATGGTTCTGCCTTTCTGGAAAACAATTTGTAAATATGTGAGAAAAATTACTAAACTATTAATGCTTTTCTGACTCAACGGTTCCACTACTGAAATCTTCAAAGGGACCAAAATAGAGGGAAAGGTATCGTATACACCAAAATACTTACAGTAGCATTTTTTGTGGTAACAAAATACTGGAAACTATATGAGTATCCATCCATTGGAAGATGGCTGAACAAATCACGATGTAGGAGTATAATGGAATATTATTGCAACACACGAAACGACTAACATGAGGAATTCAGAGAAACAAATGACAGCTTGTACAAACTTATACAGAGCAAAGTAAGCAGAAGCAAGAGAACAATACTCACAATGACTAAAGTAATGTTAATAAAAACAACACTAAAAGGCAACTGAATTCAGATTAATTGTAATGGCCACTCTTACACCTGGGGGTATGATGATGAAACACCCGTCCCTCCTGACATGGAATGTAGCATGCACTATCAGAAACAATGGTTGCATCAGCTGGTTTTACTTAAGTGTCTTTCTTTGTTATAAGGGAGGGCTGAATGGGGGACAGTGTGTTTAAGGAAAGATGACTGTGGTATGAAAAAAAGAGGCAACAATCGGACTTTTAAAAAAACAATCCATACTTCTAAAAACACCAGACCGATTTACCTCAAAGTCTTTCACCTTTTCCATTGTTATCAAACGCCTTGCTGTATGACTGGAAAGCCTCTGCTCACAGTTGCTAATGAGTTTCAGGCAAGGGTGGCGTGGTATTATCTCCTCCATGTATCTGGAAAGAATAAAGCCACTGAAATAAGCTTAGGAACATGTGTGCCCCACACTGAAAAATAGGGATAATTCAGCTGTACTTATTTTACACACTCCCACCACTTTACTTTAGTAAAGTAGCATATGCTAATTGCTCTCAAAATTCATGACAAAAATATACATTTATTTAAAATAACAGTATTAATAATAATAATACAGAACATAAACTCAAACAAAGAAAACTTATTTGTGGTATATAAAGAAAATATACAAGCACTATAAGATATTCATTGAACCAGAAATATGTTAGTAGCTCCTTCATTACAATTTACCTAAAATGGGAAAATGCTTTAAAAAAATTTTAGGTTAGACAATGAGCAAAATATAACTAAGTCTCTTAGTAATATTCTCTCAGTTCTGGAAAAGCACTAGACTGTGAGACAGACGATCAATGTCTTGACCCTATTGTTACATTAACAGCCAAAACTTAGTAAGTTGCTTAAAAGAACCTTCTATGAAATAAGGGCAAGCTGAACTAGATGATGATTAAGATTCTTTCCAGTTCTAACATTCTATGATGCCTTCTTATATGAACCCTTGGCTTCACTGAATGTTAAGTTGCCTTATATATTCTTATTTTAAAACTTTAACTAGAAATCAGGATTCAACAATACAAAATATGCCAAGAATAGTACTAAGACACCATGTCTACTTAAATAAAAAGAACAGATGTTCTCAGGGTATTTTTAGTTAAGTTGTGCTTAAGTATAAATTTTAAACTACTTAAGTCTCCAAAATTAACTATTTCAAAGTCACTTTGCTAAAACCTATTTCTTCCCCTGCGAAATAATCTTTAGAGATAACATAGTATACCTAATTCCAAACTGGTCATCTTTGGATAAGGTTTACAAGAAAACTATTATATCCTTCAATAAGTTGAATAAATAAATTTTTAAAAATATAGGTAAAGGACTAGAGATATAGAATCAGACATGATTCTATGCCTCAGATACAGTCATTATCTTGATTTGTACTACATGGTTATACATATTTGTCATAAAGGATGATGTTTACTTGGTGGGAAAGAAGATGGTAGGTTAGTGGGCAATAATAGCTATGAAGGGAAAACAGCTTCAATAAAACACCTTTAAAACTAAACAGAGGGTGGGGCAGCTAGATGGTAAAGTTGATACAGCACCGGCCCTGGAGTCAGGAGGACCTGAGTTCAAATCTGTCCCCAGACACTTGACACTTACTAGCTGTGTGACCCTGGACAAGTCACTTAACTCCACTGCCTAGCTTCCCCCCCCCAAAAAAAATACACAGCGGGTAGACTGGATGAGTGCAGAAGGGGTCAAAAGTAGAACAATCTGTTACTACCTGGTTAAACATATACTTAAAAAACAAAAGAAACATGTGGTAGAAAAAAAAAAGAAACGCGGTAGAAGTTCAGTTTCATGTTCCCCTCTTCCTTCTCCCTCATTTCTTGAGATGTTTGTGATTGTCCATGATTGTTAAAATCACAATAAAAAAGACTACAATAAAATATAAATTTTAAAAATTTTATAGCACTATTTTTTGTGGTAGCAAAGAAAGAGAAGCAAAGTAGATGCCCATCAACATGGGAACAGTTAAATAAAATGTGGAATATGAATGGAATGGAATATTACTGCACTGTAAAAATCTATGAGAATAAGAAGAAAAGTATAGGAAGACATAAACTGATACAACATTAAGTAATCTACACCAGGAAAACAATTTGTTGTTGTATATATACACCTTTGTGTATATAGATATATATGTGTATGTGTGTACAGACATAGATAAATATATACATTTTTATATACAGATATACACAAACACATACATAGAGATACACTGACTTATGCACCTATTGGATGAGTGGTTTTGCTTTTGTCCTCATATCCACAGTATTTAGCACAGTGCTTTTACAGAGAAGGAGCTTAATAAATGCTTGTTGACTTGGATTGTTAAATTCATGTATTCTGTGTTTTATCTCCATTCTCATACTGTTCCTGTCCATCTTTAAGTCTTTCATCAGAGAGATGACTGAAATCTACCTCATCTTTCAAGGACCAACTGGCAGATCATTTGAATTGTGACCGCTGAAAAAACTTGGAATGGGAGAAGCACTATGAAATCAGAGATGGGCATTTATCCCTATTTTCAAATAAGAAAACAACATGGATTCTGCAGATTAGAGGCCATTCAGCATGAGCTTACTTTTTTGGCAAAACTCTAGACTTTTTTTAAAAATAGTTAGTGGACACCTCAAAAACGAAACTGTGATCACAAAGGTTCAGCATGGCTTCCTCAAGAGCAGGTCATGCCAGACTGAAGATCTGGGAAGAGGGTGGAAGTGGAGATATAGAATTTGGATATAGGTAAGAGGTAAAGCTAAAAGAGCCAATGAAACCACCAAGAGAATATACAAAGAGGGGAAAAGAAGACAATGAAGAAGAGAACCTTTAGTTATACATATTTAGAAAGAGACACTTTGTCAAAAATTATTAAACTAAGAAGCTTGCAGACAAAAATATCCAACATAACATCCTTTACTATCTTTGAAATACTGTAAACAATTAAGACAGCCTCTAGCTTTACTTTTGCAAAGGTGAAAAAACTAGCATAAGGATTCTAAACTACTGCTTTACCAGACAGAATTTCAAGCACAATTAAAAGCTGGAAAATAAACCATGGAAATGCAGGGTCATATATTTACTGCTAAAATTTATCCTATAGAAAAAAAACTATATGAATAAATACTATAGAAAAAGGACATCTAATTCCCTTTTAAAACTCAGTTTGCCTAAGCCAGAAGGAAAACACTTCCACATACATATGTGCCAATAAACTCCTTCTCTGACAGATGGTATATGTACAAACCCACCTGTCATTTCAGACATCAGCAGACCCCAAGAACTGATCTTGGTCTTCAGTCTCCGTGTGTTGCTTATTAGCTACCCAGATACATACTCAGAATAATAAGATCAGTCTAGACAAGGAAGTCCGTGGTCTCATTAGCTATTATATCAGAAGATGAGCAAAAATAACTTCCAATAACCTAACCCACTCTAAAAAATTCATTAATCTCAATGCATGTTACTTCTAATATGTAATGGGCTTCCTATTATTCCAACAAAAGCAGACTCCATGCCACTGCTCTTTAAAACCCTGTTTATGATCACGATTATGAGAGGCGTAATATGTGGCATAGCAAAAAGGGCAATGGACATAGGGTCAGAAGAGCTGACCCTCTCCCTCTCCCAGCTACACACTCACTAGCTGCATGGCCACGGGGTAATGAGTTATCCTTTCAGAGCTAAGTTTCTATATCTGCCAAATAGGGCTAATAACACTTGCATGCCTGCCTCACAATGGATTGTTGTGGGAAAAGCACTTTGGAAATATCATAACACCATATAAATGTAAGTGTACAAGCTTGACAGAAAAAGAATTACAACAATTCTAAAATAACAATTATTTCTTTTTCAGTTTGAAAAAATAAACTTCTTTGGTGCCTGAGACTGATGATGAAAGATGATTTTCATTACTTATACAAATACTTTATTATCTCTAATCATTAACCTAGAAAATATTTTTCTACAAAGTATGATTATTTATAAAAGCAAGGGAAACCCCTAGAACACTGAGAGACCCCCAGATACAAAAATCCTGGCAGAATATAGACAAAAGCTGAACAGGATAAAAAGGCACAGATACACATATCGGCAAGATGACAGATCCATCTGAGTATAACTACATCTGTGCCAATGACAAAGTACATAACTAGGGCTTTCACAAATAAAACTCCCATTTCAGTTTAACCTTTTGTTTTTCCAAAAAGCTTTAATGTACTCATGACGATGACCAATATTCTGAGAATACCAGTTAAAGAATTCTGCCAGACCACTACTGATCTGTACCTTCGTAAAGTAATTGACAACTAGGCTTTGGTTAAATAAGAAATTAGACCTCTGGTACAAAGTAAAGTGAAAAGGGCCCAAGAGTCAGTGTTTTAATTAGTCTTCAGTGGGTACCCAGGGACCTTCCCAAGGGTCTCTGGACCTCTAGTAGTAGGATGATGATGAGAAAAAATTTTTTGTCGCTTTTGGATCTGCTGAACCTAGCACACCATTTTGTATATCACAGGCACTTAAATGTGTGTGGAGTTGAATAGCTACAAACAAACATGTCTATGCAAGTCTAGGCTTTCCATGTGAAATTACTTTGGAATTGATGCATTTTGTTTTTACATTACAAATATTTACAGATTATTCCCACTTCGTGAGAGGTCTCTTGCAGCAAAGTAAAACAGTTAAGTAAAACTAATAACGTGATGACTTTATCTGAAAGTACACGCATTTCCCATCTGCAGCACCGACTCCCATTTCTCTTTTTTTAAATTAACTAAAATCTATTTTCTCTCCCTCTCATCTTTCACCTATTTACGAGGTAAAAAAAAGAAAAAAATTCTTATAACAAATAGGCACTGTTAAGCAAAACAAGGTGTCTCAATGTCTGTTAAAAAATGTGTATATTTATATGTGTGTGTGTGTGTATACATACACACATGTACACATATATACATAAAAACACACATATATCTAAGTATGCCCTTCAGTCAGTTACTTCTCTATAATAGATAGCATGTTCTATCATCAGTCCTCTGGAATCATGGATGACAATTGTACTGACCACAATTCTCACAGCTCTCAAAAATATTTTTTACGATGTTGTTGCTATTGTATAAATTGTTCTCCTAGTTATATTCATTTCATTCTTCATCAGTTTATAAAAGTCCTCAAAATGGTTGATTAAAAATTGGAAGCCACAGAAGGATGGGGGAAAGGATCAACAGAGAAGGAAAATGAGAGAGAAGAAAGAAAGGGAGGGAGGAAGGAAGAAAGTGTGAAAGAGAAGAAGGAAGGAGTAAAGCCAAAGAAGATGGAAGAAAGCAATGAAAATCAGCAACACTATCAGAAAACAGCAGATTCTAAAAGCAGGAAAGATAACAGCCAGGAACAAAGACTAGAAAAATTAAGAAAAGTAAGAAGAAAGTAGCCTAGATCAGTAGTGGAGCCAGTGATAATGATTATAAGTGGTGACAGAGGCAGGGAGCAGCAGACAATGAACCTGGAGAAGGAAGCTTCCTAAGACACTGAAGCTGCAGCAGCTCTGTGGTTTGCAAATGGCATCAGTAAACACCTCAAAACAATAGCTTTGAAGGTCAAGAAAACCTCTACTTTATGTGTATCTGGGAAGAGGAGAAGGGAGTACCAGAGCAAATGGTTTCTTGTACCTTATCAGCCCCTAAAGCTATAGAAAAAGGAATACCAAATGGTACATAATTCAGAAGCTAGAGGTATTAATATACCGTATAAACAGTAGAGTGACATATTAAGTCATTTAAGTCTATTCCATATCATTTATGGATGCATCTATAACTAGAGTTACAGCATAGTACAATAACAATGTTGATTTGGAGCCATCAAAAAAAAGCTAAATTAGGTATGGTATATTTTGAGGTTTATACATTATAGTTCATCCTACAAAATTTCTCTCGGCTACTTAAAGAAACTCAGACATCCAGAATAATTCCCTCTCTAAGAGTTTCAGACAGGTAAGAATTTATTGTATTATTAATTAGTGGTTTTCCCAACAAACAAATTCCTGAGAAATAAAGTACAATATCCATTTTCTTCCTAAGGAAATACACACAAATATAAGATGTGAACCCAAGTATGTCTCTTACAATAAAAAATTATAATTTGAAAAGTTCTGGGTTTCCTTGATAAACGAAAGCTACACTGTACAATATGGAGTAAGATGAGTTTTTCTTTTAGCTAAAGTACTGAGAGTGATATATGTTAACTTAAGAAATCCTATACTGAGTCAGAGCAATCATCTATCCACTCTGATACTTTCTCTGATGGAGGCACTAAGGATGTGGGTTGCCTTGTATGATGTCACCTCGAAACAATGTAAAGTAATCCAAACATCCCTAGCATCCTTTAACTTTTCATGGCTCTATCATTCCGAAATTTATCAAACACCTTTCAAAATTTTTATAATTTTGGCCTAGAATATTTCTTAGGATGATAAGTTCTGTCACCCACCCTGTGATGCAGCATTATCCTTTTTACTTGCCCCCTCTATCTCCTCCTTTACTCCAGTCTCTGAGGAAGAGTAGCCCCTCTTCTCACCAAGACCAACCTATCTACGCTTGATCTCATCCCCTCCTATCTTCTTCAGGGTATTTCCCCCATCATTATCTTGTCTCTTTCTAATCTTTAATCTCCCTCTATAAATTAATTATTTCCCTGATGCCTATAAATATATCTTAGTCTGTACTGTCTCTGTCAGCCATCTTCCTTGGAAAAAGCCATCTGCCCTGTTTCTCTACTTCCTCTCCTTTCGCTCTCTTCCAAACCTTCTTCAATCTGGCATCGGACCTCAGCACTCAACTGAAACTTTTCTCTCCAAAAGTACTGATGATTTTTTGATTGTCAGATCTAATGTCCTTTTCTCAACCCTCATTCTTTTTACCTCTCCACATTTGACACTGTTGACTATCCTCTCTTCCTGGACACTCTGTCCTGGGCCCTCTTCTCTTTGCTCTCAATATCCTTTGATTGATGAGTCTCATCAGCTCTGATGGGTTCAAGGATCATCTCTATTCTGAAGATTCCAAGATCCATACATTGAACCATCATCTTTCTCTTGAGCTTGAGTCCCAATCATCAACAGCTCATCGGACATTTTGAACTAGATGTCTGGGAGGAATCTCAAACTCAACACATTCAAAAGAGCGCTCATTACCTTTCCCCAAAAGCTTAACCCTCTTAGAATTTTCATATTACTGTTGAGGCACCACCATCTTTCTAGTCACTCAGGTTTGCAGCCTCAGTGCCATCCTTGACTCTTCACTCTCATTTACTCCACATATACAATGAGTTGTCTAATCTTGTCACTTCTATCTCCATGTTTGTCGTACACATCTTCTCTCCACTCAGACCACTACCCCTCCAATTCAGGCCCTCATCACTTTTGGACTGAACAAAACAATAGGCTCCATATTGGCCTACCTGTCCAAGTGTCTCCCCACTCCAATCCATCCAACATACAGCTGCCAAAGTGATTTTTCTAAAGGGCAGGTCTGACCGTGTCACTCCCCTACTCAAGAAACTCCGATGACTCCTTGTTACCTGAAGGATCAAATACAAACTCCCGTTTGGCATTTAAAGCTCCTCACATCCTGGCCCCTTCCTACCTTTCCAGTCTTTTTATACATTATTACCCCTCCTGATTTCCTTCAAAACTCAGCTCAAGCTTCACCTTTTGCTGACGGCCATTCCTGGACCCCTAATTGCTAGCACCTCCTCTATGACGTATCTACTTTGTATAAACTTACATATGTCTATAAATGTACATGTTGTTTCTCCATTAGAATGTGATCCCTCTGAGGGTAGATCTTCACTTCTATCTTTGTATCCCCAACACTTAGTACATTATCTAGCTACAGCTGGGGTCTTATAAATGCCTGTTGATTACTTAATTTGTTAAAATTACTCTTTCAATCCCAAATTCTAGTATTCTGAAATTTTCACCTTCTGCCCTTCTATTCTTCAGTTTTTCAGACTGAACCCTACTTTTTTTGTTTCTTCTTATGTGAAAGCACCGTCCTCCTTGGGTTCCCCAACTCTATACCTTTCCAGTCCCATTACATTAGGTGTAGCAAAAAGAATTTAATTGGTATTCTAATAAACTCCTATAACTCTTATCCAAAGACTTTACTGTGGACTAGAGCACACATCTCTTAAAATTCTAGTTTTTAAGTAATATTAAAGAATAAGCTGAATAACAAAAATAAACCAAAAAAACAAACCCCCAAAACAAAGGATCTCAGGATTTATAAAAGAAAATAAAACTTACACAATAAATACTATGTTCATGTCATTAATATCTCTAAAAAGTTAATATAAAATAAAGAAGTCTAGTAAAGAAATTAAGTAAATACTAATTGACAAGTACCAGAAGGAAAGTATAAGGAAATAAATAATCATAACTTTTAGCTTAAAGCATTCTGAGTATGATGGAATATTACCAGAACCACTAAGAAAAAATGTTAAGAGTACTGGCTACAGGTTATAGGAAGAGAAGGCAATGAGAGTAACCCCTCTGTTGTAGCTTCTCCCCCAATAATAACATTCAGTCTAACTGCTCACATTTACCTGGAAATCTAAATTTCCTTACTTTATACCTCTACATTCATTGCCACAGCACTTTGTTTTATGCTCCAGAATCTTACCTGTTTTTAGAAAAAATAACAAGCTTTGTCCTAATAAGTAATTAATAGGGTAATTCTGTGGGTATCTCTTAAGGCTCCAGACCCTCTTCTCTTTGTTCTCTATACTTTATGACTTGGTGATCTCATCAACTCTGTGTATCCCTGCTCTGGTCTGTGTAATCATTTTTCTTTTCAAAAAGACCTCTTTTGCAAGGCAGTTAGGCGGTACAGTGAATACAGCACTGGCCCTGGAGTCAGGAGGACCTGAGTTCAAATCCAGCCTCAGACACATAACATTACTAGCTGTGTGACCCTCTGCAAGTCACTTAACCTCAACTGCCTTGCCAAAAACAAAAAAAAAAAACAAAACTCATTTGGGGATATAGCCTATATTGAGGTCAATTTATAATATTTAAATTGATTAGATAGGCAGGATCCCAAAATAAAAATGTCTTAAGAGCCTAAAATTAAGAGAGAAGCTACAGTGTGTTGCAGGCGGCTAAGCTTTGCATAATAAAGCATTCATTCAACAAATATTTATCAAGTCTAAATAAACCAAAGAGCTAGAGAGACAAAGGCCAAATAAACAAGATTGTGCTGTGTATAGAAACTAAAGGCTTTCACTCCACTTGAAATACCAAGACTCTTACTCCAGACACAACTAAAATTAAGAAAAAAAATCAAAAATACAAGATAATCTAAGAACATAGATATACTAGAAACAGAACAGAAAGATAAAGTTCTCCAAAAGATACATACTCTGGTATATACACTGGCAGCCAATAGACTAGTCTTCCACCAAGTACAAGAGTTTCTGCAGCAAAATTTAGAAGGTCTATAAACATATCACTCAGATGATAGTTGAAAGAAACAGGGATGTGGCTTTCTGGGCTAAACAAAAAATACCAAAATAATATGCTTAATGAAAGACTGTGAAGATATTTTTTCAAGATAAAGTTAAATAAAGAAAAGCAACAAGCATCCCAAAGTTAGAAGAGTTTAAATTTTAACACGTACATAGTTACCTAAAGTTTACTTACCATTTTTCTATTCCTTTTGGTATTTCTTTCTGTGAACCTGTTTTTCTAGAAGATTCTCTGATACCATAGGGAGCTAAGCAGAAAACACAGGTAACACTGATAGCCAAAATTCATCCTTGTAATTTCAAAAAATATACCTACATTGAAATAATAATGTCTGGGTAATTTTTCTACATTCTTGTTAGCAGAAGTAATTCATTTAAATGACTAACAAATATTTATTAAACTTCTGTTATGTAGAAGACACTGCTTGATACTGGAAATACCTAGATAAAAAAGGTCTTTGTCCTTGCTCTTAAGAAGCTTTCATTTTATTGGGAGGCGGGGAAGGTGGGGGTGGGAGTGGGTAGTATTATAGCATAGACATAAGTAAATATAATAAAACTAACAGAATAATTACGGAAAAAGAGAGATCACTATAATGTTTCTGAGAACATGTGAGAGAAAACATTTTCAGTAAGAAAACTGAAGGAATGAAAAGAAGATACAAGGTGGCCAATGAATGAAGACTTGATAGGTGCCTCATTAAAAAGGCAAATCTGGTTCATTAACTATAACAGTGGAGAATAACACCACTTTCATAATATGGAAAAATCGATTTCCATCTGTAAGCATGTATTAAGAATCTACTATGTGTCAGGCAATACACTAGCTTTTGGGGGTATAAAGACAGAAACAAAACAGACTCTGAGCTCAAGAAGTTTACATTCTATGGAGGTAAACAACTTGCATGTTAAGTGTATACAAAATAAACAGAAGGAGGTTGGGGAAGGGGGTAGCACTAACCACTGGAAGATCAGGAAAATACTATTGCAGGAAGTGATGTTTGAGATGACCTTTGTAGAAAACTAGGGATTTTGAGAAATAGAATTGAGGAAGGAATGCATTCCAGTAAAGGGAGACAGCCTGTACAAAGACATGGAGACAGAATGAATAAAGGAAAAAGCATTTATTAAGCACTTATTATGTGCCAAGTGCTGTATTAAGTACTAGAAGATGGAGTGATGTGTTAAGGAATAGCAGCAAGGTCATTCTGCCCTGCCTGAAGTGATGCATAATAAGGATGAGGAGGCAGACTGGAAACAGTTTAAGTGCCAAGAGAGGAGCCTGCAATAGGCAGAATGATAGGGAGTAACTGGAGTTTCCTGAACAGGGAAGTGATCTGCTCAGAACTGTGTTTTAGGAATATCACTTCTGCAACTATGAGGAAGACAGATTGGAGAGGAGAGGCTTAAGGCAAGGAGACTAACTGGAAGATTATAAAAATAGTCCAGGAAAAAGGTGGTAAGTAGGCAAGGTAAATGGAAAGAAGGGAAAAAGAAAAGGAAAGAATGTACAAAATGTCGTGGAGGCAGAATCAACCAAATCTGTAACTGCTTGGGTATGTGAAGAGAGGGAGAGTGAAGGCTGGAGATAACGGAGGGGTTGCAAACATTGGGTGAATGGAAGGACAGGGCTTTCCTGGATAGAAACTGGAAAGTTCAGAAGAGGTGGGTTTGGGTGGTGGGAAAGGTAATGAGTTCTGTTTTGAACACATGTGGTACGGTAGACAGAGTACTAAAGCTGGAGTCAGGGACTTCAAATCCTACCTCAGACACTTATTGGTTGTGTGACCACTAGCAAGTCACCTCTGCGAGCCTCAGCTTCCTCATATGTAAAATGGGAATAACAGCACCGGCCTCCCAGTGTTGTTGTGAGAATCAAATGAGATATATGTAAAATGCTTAATACAGTGCCTGGCACACAGCAGGTATTTAATAAATGCTTATTTCCTTCCTTCCTATATCAATGGAAGGTCGCTGTGAAGACCAAATGAGATAACATATTTTAAGTAAATACAAGGTAATTTAAGGAGTGGGATAACACTAATAACAAAGGGGACCAGCAAAAGCTCCCCAAAAGAGTTGCGTCACATATAATAAGTATTTTTTTTACCCTGCAAATATTTATTCTCTTACACATCAATCTCTTTGAGGTTTTTCCCCCATTTGGTTTATTTCTTCTTTTGTTTTTATTATAACATTTTTTGCTATCTTTGTTTTCACATAGTCTACATTTCCTCTGGTATCCTCCCTCTGACTAAGATTACTATTATTACTAAAGTAGTATTATCAAATTATCCCATATCCATGGGAATTCAGTTTTCCTCTTATTGCATAGTATAAGATATCCCGTGAACTTTGTTTAGGTAACAATAAGTGCTACAAAAATACAAAGACTTCTATTTAAACAAACATGCGATATTTGCATGTTGTCTTATTAAAAATCTCAGGTTATAATTGTAAATGAACTAAACATCTTGCTTCTAGTTTTTTTCTGAAGACAACTGAATTATCCTAACCATGAAAATAAGTGTATATGTACATACGTAGAGTCAAAAAGAAATTAGGCTAAGGGAAATTAAGAAATTAGAAACTAAACCATGAATCATGCTGTTAAATTCTGCAATCCTCTTCAATCAACTACTTGTGCTACTTCCGTATTTTTTTCCCTTAGGCTTCGTAGAAATACCACTGATAAGTTGTGTATCTTGGTAAATGTTTTCCCCAATACATAAAGCTACTTTGCATAATTCTAATTGTATGCCTACTATGGTATAGAAACATACTTACGATCAGTGATAATTGCATCAAAAAACAATCCCTTCCTCCAGGAAGGCTTAGATGCATCTGCAATGAGGACATCAAGGTAGTATTTCTCTAAGCCATACTGGCGAAGATTTGCCTTAATATTTTCATCCGGACCTCTCCATTTCTGATTTTTCCTACTAGCCTTTCCTAATGAATAAAAGGAATGGGAGGAGAGAGAATGTCATGTGTGACAAATCATTCTTATTCCTTATCATGAAACTCATAGCAGCACTTTTAATTCTTTGTTCCCCAAAGAAAAGCTACTGATAATTTCATTTACATCTTATTTATCCAAGTAAACAATTACTTTCATTCAACTCATTATAAAACTACTTCACTACAATAAGATACATTATACATTGGGCTCCTGCAATCATTCTATCCTTAGGCAACAAAATACAGGGCCTATTTTCATGAAAAACTGCCTTCCTGGATATTTTTCATGCATTAGGAACTAAATCACCTTGGATAAAGGATAAAACAGGCCAACTCTTAAAATTTATTCTACCCTTTAACACAGTAGTGCACTGTAGAATAAAGACACACTATAATATTTTTAGAAAAAAATTTTAAAGAACTTTTGGGAAATTTTTCCTAAAGGAAATATACCTACTATATGAAAGAATGAGAAAATAATAATTCACTTGAACACTGTATTTCAGTACTTCAAGAATCTATAATTTCTTTAGCATGGATATCCCCTCCACCAACACTGCTACTGTGACACAGTCTTCAAGAGTTGCTGTGGCCTCTTTTTGTAGTAGCAAAGAACTGGGAACCAACAAGATGACTATCAACTCAGGAAGAGCTGAACAAATTATTGTATATGAATGTAATGGAATGCTATTGTGACATTAGAAAAGATGAAAGGGATATGTCAGAGAAGCCTGGAAGGACAGAATGAAGTGAACAGAACCAGGAGAACCACTTAGACAATAATGATAATATATTAAAGACAAGCAATTTGAAAAACTTAAGTACTCTGATTAATGGTATGACCAACAACAATTCCAGAGGACCACTGATGAACAGCGCTACCTACCTCATGACAGAAAGATAATAAATGTAAGATGCAGGATAAAATATACATTTCTTGAAATGGCCAATGTGACAATCTATTTGCTTAATTATGTATATTTGTTAAAGTGTTTTGTTTTTCTTTTCTTTTTTTTTCCCAATGTGGGGAGAGGTAGTGAAGAAGAATAGGAAACTAATGCTTGTTAACTGAAAAATTAAATTAAAATTACATAAAAAGGACTTTTGCTATAGCCAAAAAACTCATTACTCTAAGAACAACCTGGTAATAAGCCTCTTTGAACTTAGCAAGACTGATCCTCAGACAAAAGATATGCTATCTTTCACCAAGTCTATATTCAGTGTCACTTTATCTACCCTAAATTTTTCTTGTGACTGTATCTTTTCTATGTTACTAACATATAAATATAAATATGACAATAATATAACAAGCTTCATTTGCTCATTGTAAATGTTACAAAATCTCTTCTATTCAATGAGGAAAAAAAGACAAGTTATCAAGTAGGGACACTTAACTCTGGCTTGCTCTAACAAGAGAAAAAGATATAGCACAAGAAAATCTCATCCCATACGTTGTACACAAGGCTAACTGACTACCATCCTCTCTAAGGCTCTCATTCACATAATAAAGTGAATCACAAAGAACACCTCTTTCCTAGAAAACGGTTCATGGAATAACTTGCTTCTCCTTACAAATTGTTAGGGAAATAAAATAAAAAACAAAGACAAAATAGCGCTACAAACCATTCTGTCAAATTTACTCTACTGAACAGCTTCTTACGGCTAGTTCTACATTTAGCCAACTCAACAGAGCAATTTTGGTTTCACTGTAGGAAATGCTTTAATCAATAGCTGCCAACTTTTGACTAATAGTACTAAATTCGCCATGGCAAGATTTATAATACTGCCTCCAATATGTCAAGTAAAAGAAAGCTATAAAGGTCACCTAGGAAAGATGAGTTATTGTTATCATATTTATTCATCTATGTCATCCCTCTCACGTACATTTGAAAGAAAAAAATTAGAGAAGCTGGGAGTGAGGGAAGGTAAGAAGAAGGAAAAAAATGTTTTTCTTGTCTTGGAGTATTTGTCACCTACTTTGGTACTAGTAATCTAAAGATGACTATATCATAATAATACCAAGAAATTTCTTTAACATACTATTATCTAGAAAAAGAAACTTTTAATATAATAGTAATACATATTAAACTATTTGGAACCACAACTTACCCAATCCATGAATTGTATTGTAATCTATGTCTGTTCCACATACATAGGCCCCAAAATGAGCAGAGGGTATCAAGAGGCCACCTGAAAATTTAAGAGATGATAACAGTGCATGACTAATTAGGAACAAAGTTCTCTATTCCCCGCCCTTCCTCCTCTTCACTTAATAAGTTCCAGAGAGCCTTAAAATACAGCTGTATGAAAGGTATACTGGATTTATTAATCCTTGCTAGTAAATTAATCTGAGCTCACCAGAAAATAGAGTATAAATTAGTGTGCTCTTATCATTACTGAAATGTATTGTTGATATGCAATTACTTCTTCAACAATTTTTTTAGTATCTCCATTCTATTCAAAGGGGCCCCTACAAACATATCCCGCTCATTTCTGAAAAATTAGCTCATGGAGTTTGCTACACAACCACAGTTGGCATCCTTCCCCCACATTAAAAAAAGGACTAACTTCTGACATTTGGGCTTAATTCTCAATGAAGTCACAAAACTATAAATAAATATCAGAGGGCAGAATTTATGCCACTCACGTGCCAACCCCTACCAAAACGAAAGGAAACATGTTAGGACAAGTTATAGCTTCTCAAGTAGATCATTATGTAATTTTCCTTCATATTTTAAAATAACTCTATTTTTCAAAGTTAAATGTCAGCATGAAAAAGAAAAATAAACACAATAAAAAATCTGAAACTTTACGTATGTCATAGCCCACAGCAGAATAATCTGTCAAACTACACATTTGCCCAGCCTATCTATAATTTGACAGAGGTGACATGATTTAGGCTATAAAATATACACTGACTTGGAAAAGAAAAGATATGGATCTTCAGCCCCAGAGCCTTCTCAAATGTGATCTCTCACGATAAAATGGGTAGTACCTCCAGAGAATCAATTGCCCTCTCCAGAGAGTCAAAAACATTACACCTGTATTATGTGTATATGTATGTATACACAAACACACACACACACATACACACACAGAAAGAGAGAGTCGTCCTTTAAACACCACTTAGAATAAAGTATTGAGATTCGTACAAAAATACTTTAAAAAAGGAAACAATATTACCACTAAAGAATCCTGAAAGTGAAAGATGAAGAGAAAAGAAGTTTCAAAAGTAATCTGAAAACTAAATCCAAAGTCCATTCATAATGAAAAAAAAAAGATTTAAGTGAAAGATAAGGGAATAAAGCCCTGATTAACCTACTCATAATAACAGAACAGTCACAGTAATCTTTATGAAATGTGAGTATAAAATGTGTCATGCTGAATGACTTGTAATATTCACACTATGACTTGAATTACTATAATTCTGCCCAAGGACATAGATACTCACCTAAGAGAACTAGTTGCCAAGGGAAAAAGAAAAACTTCCCTGTGCTTCCTTAAATACAAACTTATCTACTTGGCTACAATCAGTTTTGAGAAGACAAGATATACTTTATAGTACAGTATACTGCTCAAAGGACATCAATAGTCGGTTTAATTGTTTCTTTCTACTTTTTAAGCTTCTTTAAAAAATGAGCTGGTCTCACTGACTTAGTCACTGGATGATCAGTGGCAGCAGGCGGCCACCAAGGTTGCCGCACATCATCAGAATTAAGTTTATAAGGTTTCCGCATCAGGAGGACATGACAAGATTCACCTGCTTCTTGCTCTCCTTGCAGAGTCTGGGATGCCTTAGCTTCACACGATTTAGCAGGAACATTTTCAAACAAAGGTAACATCTTATATGAAGAATTTTAATTTAAAAAACACTACTCAATGTGCTATCCAAGTATAGCCTGGTTACAACTGATAAATAAAATCTTTCCATTTCTGGATATTTAGCTATCAATCATAACATGGAAACGAATAGTTGGTCTTTGGTTTATAGATAAGAAAAGAGGTGAAATAAAAAAGAAAGGTAGAGTCTAATCATATTGTCAGTTATAGCACTTAAAACACATACAAACAATATGAAATGCCATGCACAATTAAATCGATTCAACACGATTAGTCTGAAGGAACAACATTAGCAGAATGACATGGATAATACTAAGCAAAACTGAATTACACAACCAGACTAGTTAGTTCCATAAATGTCCACACTTTTCAATACTACACAGTGAAAATTAGTACTTTCTTCAAAGAGTTTACAATCCAGGGAGGTCAGTTAGAATTATATCTAATTTGAATTTTGCCAACTTGGAATTTTAATTCCAATTCCATTTAACAGAGACTAGGCCATTGGCAAGGTCAAGGGAAGAAGTCAAGTTTACAAGAGTTTAAAATGAGAGTTTCCCACTCTGGGTGCCATGCATCAAATCCTGAATAGTGAGGAAAAAACCAAGAGAATCTGGCTCAGCACTCATTGTCCAACCCGAATAAATACTACACTATTCAAAGAGGAACAACTGAGGGTATCTCTTGTGACTTCACAGCACTGACCCCTGAAGCTCTCTGTAATATAAGTGTAGCTTACAAACAGAAAATTAGAGTTTTCCAAACTGAAACCTTTATTTTCTTACCTTCTGTTCTATTTTCACAAAGACAGAATAACTATAGTTCTAAATAATCCCATGCAAACTTATGGGAATTAACCCCAGAAATGTTCAATTGTACTTCAACAGAAAATGAGTGCATAATAAATTTGTTCATTATAACCCTATACTGCATCTGGCATCTGTTATCAGTAGTAACAATAATGAAAGCTCAAGATTTGCTAAGTGCTTTACTAACACCATCTCAGTTTTATCCTCAGAACAACACTAGGGGAGAAGGTGCTATTATTATCCCCACTTTACTTTGTGAGGAAACTGACCCCAGGATCATACAGCCAATTAAAGTTCTTGAGGTTAAATTTGAACTCAAGTTGTCCTGACACCAGTCCAGCACTCTATTGAGTATGCTCTATCAACTTTTAAGAACTTGACTAACACTGACCCAAAACCAATATTATCTCATCCATTTGGTAAAAAAGATAAGAGTATGAATAAGATAATTTATGTAAAAATATATATAGTTAGTGAAAGTGCTGCAAATAATTCATAAATCTGCATTTATAACATAATTCACAAACAAAAAGAAATCACGAAAATATTTTAAGTGTGAAAATTTACTCTGAGTATACAGCAGGCATTAAAAAGATACTTTACTGATTGATTAATCTTCCACAAAATTTTGTTCTCCGGATGTGCTTGGGATATTAGAATAATCATATTTCCTACTGATAGTTATTAAAAGTAATTATTTCATTCCTTAAATAAAAGGAGATATGCATGTTTCTAAAATCCTGAAAAATTTGGTTGCTGAAATGTAGAGGAAAAGTGTTTTTCTACACAGCTCATAATGTCATTCTAGAAAACAGTAGCAGATTGTCTAAAAGAACAAGGAAAGTTATTCAAATGAAAAAAGATTAAATCTTTCTCCTTCCAGTTTCCTAGAAGCTTTCTAACCTATTACTCTATAACCTTGAGAAAAACATAGCCTGTGAGTAGAGGCAAGATGCTGGGCCTTTAGAAAACCAAGTTCATTTCAATTCTGCTTTTCTATAAATAAACATTTTTAATATTAAATGTTGGAAACAAAATAAATGTCAAAGAAAAAAGAACCAGAGCTAGAGGAGGTGGAGCAGTGCGGGTAGGAAGAAATAATGCCAAATCTATCATCTAACTTTGAGGAAAATGTGACTTCAGAGGCAGGACTATTTCATTTTTCCAATCCTCACTGCCATCTATAAGAAGGCAATAAAATCAGTAACAAACAGATTAGGCTTAAGAATTGTTCTCACAGAAAAATGAAACAATTCATTTAACTATCATTGAACTAAAACAAGTTGAAATTCTAAAGCTATGCCTGAATCTTAACAGGTCTGTACATCAACCCACTTGGTTTAACTGCTCATCTCTCTGCCTGATGTCATGGTTCTCTTCGAGAATGAAGGACAAACCACACAACCTTCCACTAATAAGCCTAGGAGAATGACTGTTAAAAGAACCAAGACGCTTTTTCTATCAATCTTAATACCTCAAAACAACTTCAATACACAAGTCTACTCTCATCCACAATAATAAAAGCAAGTGAGAACTTTTATTACTAGAGAAATTCATCTTCTATTCATCTGTTTTAACTTGCGTAGTCAACAGAAAGGACTTTTCACTATAATACCTGGAAGAATCAGACTTTCCTCTATGTCTGGTTTAATTTAAAACTAAGCTAATAAGACTTAAGAAAAAAAAGCCAAACCATGACACTATGTGCCTATACTCTCCAAGAGTTCCTCCCACTCCACAAAGTATTATAAAATTCCCAAGATAGGGCCTAAATAATGGTGAGGATAATGGTCAGTAAAGAAAGATATGGGGTCATAAAGGTAAGGGAAAAATATATAAGCAATGTGGTAGGAATATATTATCTGTATAAAAGATTGAAAAGATGGAGGTGTTGGTTAATTGGGAAGGATACAAATTAGTGGGCTAATTCATTAACACAAGCATATAAAATAATTCCCTAAATTACATATCTCTAGTTCTTATATCATTTTATTATGATATACTAAAAGGCAGCATAGCATACTGAGCCCTGGGTTTAAGTTGTAACTCTGACACATACTATTTATGTGACCACAATGCCATCAGGATGTCCAGAAATTATACTTCAAGGAACTCTGAAAGGATTATAATAATGAGAAATTGATATCTGGAATTTTCCCTAGTAGCATCCTGGTATCATTTTCTCATTACCACAACAATCCTTATGGAGCTCATGATGATGAAATTTCTGGCCATCCTGATAATGACCGGGGGGCTCCAATTCCATAATAACTGGGAAATGGCATTGTGGTCACAGATAGTCTTTTCCCCAAATTATATTCCATCAGTCTCCACCTTTATACTTTACTTTTCTGCCAACTCAATAGTAAACTATAACTATTTTTAAACTAATCACTTGATTATCTCTTTGTGAAGTGATTATAATTAGTTATCTGATCAGGGCACGCAAATCTTTCTTTCTGAAATAGAGTCCTTGAAGCCCAAAAGATTATCATGTTTCAAGACACTTTGGTCTTTCAAATTTAACTGTATTATAATGTATGAGCTGAAAGCTCCCCCTACTGGCTCATCCGACATTACAAAGGATTAAAAAAATATATATCCTCTTTACTTTTTAAGAAATTACTATTTTAAAAGTATTTTAAATCTTGGACTTCACAATTTTCTTTTCGTAGTTTCTGTTTTCATACATGTTTCCACTCAAATGGCAAATGAAACTCTTCAAAAGTTCAACTTCTTTAAAATATGTTTAACTTGGTCTCATCTAAAAGAACATCTTTGATAATGTTTTCTAAAATAATTAAATAAAAATACCTGTTCCAACAAATGGATCAAAGACAATGTCATTTTCTTTCACTTTCCCATGATTAGCCATGATGAATGATAACCCAGCATCCATGCTTGTGTTTCCAATAAAATGTCTCTTTTTTACACTGTATGACTCAATAAGTTCCCTCTGTCCATCTGCAATCTGTGTCAAAACAGATTTTAAATTAATATGAAGACCAGTAAAGGACTGCTTAAGACAGACAACCCGGGCAAAACCCTCATGCAAAACATCTTGATGCTGATGAAAATGAATTTCCTAAGTACAAGATGGGGAAGGCATAGTTAAACAGCAGTTTATTGGAAAAGATCTGGGTGTTATAATGGATGGATGGCTAGTTCCATATGAGTTTGATTTACAGACAAAAACCTAGTGCAGTCTTGGGCTACATTAAAAGAGGAATAGTTTGCACAAATAAAGATGTGATAGTACCTTTGTAATGTGCCCTGGTCAGATCACATCTGAAGCATTAGTTACAGAGGATGGTGATGGGCCTTGAGGCCAAGTCATATGAGGATCAGTTAAAGGAACTGGCGATGTTTAGCCAGAAGAAAAGAATCAGTAGGACATAACAGCAGCTTTCAAATATTTGAAGAGCTGGCCTGTAAAAAGGTGATTAGGCTTGTTTTATGTAGTCCCAGGGACCAAGGGTAGGAGCAATGGGTAGAAGTTGTGAAGAAGCAAATTTAAATGTCAGGAAAAACTTTGTAACAACGAAAGCTGCTCACTCTTTTTGTGGTGGCAAAGAATTGGAAATTGAGGAATGGCTGAACAAGTTGTAGTATATGAATGTAACAGAATACTATTGTGCGCTAACAAATGATGAGCAGGTGGATTTAAAAAAAAAAAACCAGAGGGGCAGCTAGGTGGTACAGTGGATAGAGCACTGGGCCTGGGGTCAGGAGAACCTGAGTTCAAATCTGGCCTCAGACCAGACACTTGACACTTACTAGCTGTGTGATCCTGGGCAAATCACTTAACCCCAATTGCCTCAACCAAAAAAAAAAAACTGTCGCCCACTAAATCACAGGGGGCAGCTAGGTGGTGCAGAAGACAGAGCTCCAGCCTTGGAGTCAGGAGGACCTGAGTTCAAATCTGGACTCAGACACATGATATTCACTAGCTGTGTGACCCTGGGCAAGTCACTTAACCCCCATTGCCTTGAAAAAAAAAAAACCACCTGGAAAGACATGAACTGATGCTGAGTGAAGTGAGCAGAACCAGGAAAACACCGTACATAGTAACAGCAACACTATGTGATGATCAGCTATGACTGACTGAGCTCTTCTCAGCAATACAATGATCCAAGACAATTCTAAAAGACTCATGATGGAAAATGCTACCCACATCCAGAAAGAGAACTGATGGAATCTGAATGCAAATCGAAGCATACTATTTTCACTTTTCTTTGGTTTGTTTATTTTCATGGTTTTTCTTTTTGTTGTTTCTTCTTTTGCAACATGACTAATGTGGAAATATGTTTTACATGATTGTACATGTATAACCTATATCAAATTGCTTGCTGCCTTGGGGAGGGGGAGGGGAGGAAGAAAATTTTGGAACTCAAAATCTTTCAAAAAATGAATGTTGAAAATTGTCTTCACATGTAATTGGAAAAAATAAAACACTATTAAACAATAAAAGTTGCTTAAAAGCAGAATGGGCCACCCCAGGGTCCCTCATTGGACTGGCGGGCCACTTGTCAGATATGGTAAACTGTGGATTCCTTTCTAATGTATGTTGGACAAGATGGCCCCTAAGGTCTTTTCCAACTCTAACAATTCTGAGATTCCATGACTCAGATTCTTTCCAATTCCCACTGTTTTAACCTTTCCTTTTAGTAAAGGTAATGGAGATGGTTACGGAAAAGTTCCTCACCTACAGCATGACATCTTTACATTCCTCTTATTCCCAAAACAAACTCAGATTTGAGCTTGAAATAGAATCAGCGTTAATATCACAAGTGCATAACAGCCAACCAATGGAAATAATTTACTTTTTCCATATCCGTACACTTCAAAAGTAAAGTTATTCAGTTAACACTTGCTATAGAATCTTTCTCACTCAATGATTTTAGAAAAGATTGTTCTTTAATAACTATCCTTGCATTTTGGATGAAAGAGACAAGACACAGTGGGGAGAAACATAAATAGCACTGGGCCTAAGAGTTCTGTCCCCATTTAACAGTTATGTGACCCTGGACAAATCAACTTACCTTTATTGACCTCAGGTTCCTCATCTGCAATACAGGGATAATGCTACTTGCATTATCTACTTCACAACAATATTGTTGTGAAGCATTGTAAACTATAAAGCATTTTATAAATCTGAACTACTATTATGGAAAGTCAATAAAAGTAGTCTCTATAATTGAGGTTCTTACCTAAAATGACACAAGAACTCTAACTTTTATCACTTCTGTAGAAATGAAGTATGATAACATTTTTCTTCATGTCTTGTCTTAATTATTTCTGGGGCACAATTCACAATTGTGTCTAAGGTACAGACAACACAATTCTAATAATACTAGCCAGTTCTGGCTATGTTCAGGTACCTGCTCACTGCCCTCTGTCCCACTAGGTTACCCTATTTCTTCTCTGAGTCATGAGATGGGGAACTTCTCTTGACTTTGTCCTATATATACCTGGATGCTTAGACCTAATTAAAATTCTATTTCCACTTACGTAAAAATTCTTGGCTCTTCTGTACCGTGGGCCTCTAAGGAATGGGGCAACCTAGACAAAGAGCCAGTTATTGTTGAGAGTTTTCGATACAGGAGCTTACCCACAGTAACTGAAGTAAGGTGGCTTGTCAGATCAACACAAGTATTTCATGTGGACTGCTCACTTGGAACTTGGAATAAACTCCAGGTATCACCTTAGTCCAGGTCAAGGAAAGGGGGAACTCTTCCCAAAAAATGTTTTCAGCTCTGGATTCATATGGTCTAGATTCACCCTATGGATGGTCTACTGTCAAAGAGGCCTTATTACTAAGCCTCTAGATCACTGTCTCCATCCCAGAGTAAAACTCAAGGGAAAAATCTTTAAAAGAAAAAAAAGCGTAGCAGTGCATAGCTACAGTCTTTGCAGCTGGGGAAGCTAAGGCTGATGGAGAGCTTGAATTCAAGAGTCCTGAGATACAGAACAGCTAACGTTGATCAAGTGTCTTCACTAAGTCCCACATCAATTCAGTAAGCCCCAGAAAGCAGAGGACCACAAAGCTGCCTAAAGAGGTGTGAATCAGCCAGCTTCCATTGCAATAAGTATTGGGATGGGGCCCATGAGTGGCTGCTGTACCTCCAGCTTGGGCGACAGTCAGGGAAAAAAAAAAAGGAAAAAAATGTTTTGGGGAACAGTACTTCCTCCTATTTACTACTTCTAAGTCTGAATATCTTCCTCTCCCTGCTTAGTGATTATACCTACATGAGTGTGGACTACGCCATTCAATATTTTAGCTGTAATGGTTTAGTTCTTTTAAGCTTTTAATAAAAAGGAATCAAATTTGTAGTGCTATTTTTTCCTAAAGATAAACAGAAATATAAAGAAGTAATGTTACTTACCCATCTACCAAAATAAATATTAAGTGGTTTCTCTGGGATATGGTTTGGATCCAAGCCATAATCTTCCAGGATAGAAAATACATGCTGTGGATCTTTTAAATTCACCTTTCCTTCAAACGGCAGAAATTCAAGTGCCTAAAATAAAAAAAAAAAATTCTAACATCCTAGTAAATAAATTAAATTTAATGTTTATTTTATTATTTATAATATTGTTATATGTTAATAATAAATTTTTAAAAATAAATTTAAATGAAATTCATTAAAATATTTCAATAATTGTTATGCTGAGTTAAAATTATACAATTTTAAAGTCTACTTACATCTATTCGCTTGACTTTTTCTTCTTGTGTTAATGTTTTATTAAATGTGTGAATCTTTATTTTATATGTAGTGTCTGAATGTAGAAATGGAGCCTAAAATAAAACAGATAATTTTCTTTTAATGTCTGCAATTCTACTTTAACTATATGTATTCTTATGCAAGACACAGCTTAATACATACCATCTTTTCCATGGGATAACTTTTTAGAGAATTGTATAGTTCTTCTGGAGATTTTCCGTGACCCCATAGTTCAAATATAGACCTGGAAATTTCATGATCAAAGTTACTTTCTGCTTGAAAAAAATCCCACCAAAAACACAACAATGATTTTTGTTTCCTTCTTTTTCATTACTGTACATTTAAATAAGAGACTTGGGTCCTAAAGCTACATATAATTCTGCTTCTGCAACATCCAGATTTGGAAATTAAATTGTCCTCAGCTTAAACAGGGAAGTCATCTGAAGATGTATATAGCAGGAAGGAAAAACTTTTCTAGAATCAACCAACTATTTTTTAAGCATTCATTGTGTGACAGGCACTGTACTAAGATCTAGAGATACAAACAAAAAGCAAAAACAATTCCTGCCCTTAAGGAGTTTACAGTCTAGTGGGGAAGACAGCACATACAAAACGCAGCACATATAAGCCTGATGAATACCGATGAAAAGTAGCCTTAGAGTGGAAGGCACTACTGCTGGGAGAAAAGTGATAGAGGAGAGATTTCCCTCCAAAGGGTGTACTGCTGCATCTTCAGAGCCAAAACGAGAATATCAGGCTGGTTATGCTACAAAAAATGGTATTTTCCCCAGTTTCAACCCAGTTTTTGGTCCTTGTTCTCCAAAACTATATAGAAAGTATCCCTCCCACTAATGTAAATTTCTCTGATGGGCTCATTAATCTATATGGTACATAGTATTATATTCAAAATTATATCTTGCCAATAATTCAGAATGACTGAAATATAGGCATACAACAATAATTCATACACAATCTAAATCAAATTACTACAAACTTTAAGGGATATTCAAGTGACCTGAATTTGTTAACTATGCCTAATACTTATTAAAATTTACTGGGCTTTAAAAATATTTTTTTTTGTCAGAGTGGTATTCAGAGTAACAGCATTTTATCCTTCATCCTTGGCTGTAACTGTTTTAATGCAAAAAAAAAAAAATAGCAACTTAAAAAACTCCTTCTCCTGAATAGTCTAAATGTTCTTTTGAGATTGTTTAACTCCCATTTCACAATACTACATTTGTAGAGCACTTTGCTGTTTACAGAATTTTTTCACGTATAATACAATAGAAAGATGATGATTTTAGAATCAAAAGACTTGGGTACAAATCAGATTCTTACTAGATGTATGACTTTGGGCAAGACATTAACCTCTGAGCCAGAATTTCCTCATCTGTAAAATAAGGAGTTTATACTACATGAGTTCTAAGGGCCCTTATAGCCTTAAATCTATAATCTCATGAGCTGTAGAACAACCCTATGAAGCTGGCAAAGCAGGTATTATTATCAATATTTTACAAATGAGAACATGGAGGGCTACAGTGGGTTAACTGACATGCCCATGGTCATACAGAAAGTAGGTATCGACAAGAGACCCAAACGCAGGCCTTCTGACTCAAAGTGCCCTTCCTCCCTTTTCTACTACACAATAATAACAATAATAATCTCTTACATTTGTACAGTGTCCATCTTCTCTGCATAAGTTGTCAAAATCACTAATTATTCTATCAGAAAATTCAGCAATGTGAAATATATAGGCTGCCTTAAAGGGCCTTTTTCCTCATTCAGGGTGAATTTTCACAATGAGTCTTAAAATTACTGTATTTAGACATTAACTTAATATTAAGCTTCTAATCACCTTAACAAATAAAATTAATAGTAAGCTATCACTTATTTTTAAAACTACATCATTAAAGCTTTTGAAAAGGATCAGTCTTTAAAAGGCACTTGTAAATCCAGATCAAGATGGAAGAAGGATTTCAGTCTCACAAAGCAAAAGGTAATCAACTAAAAGGTTTGTCATTTGATTACTAAGTTCAATTATCTGAACAGTAACTGAAACCAGAATTAATTCTGAAAAAGAAAAAGCAGTTTCAGGACAGTGTTTCACTGTCTGTAGTTTCAAAAGGTCCTAACTCCTAAGTAGGCTATAACTTCTAAATAATTCTATAAAAAGTCTTAATAATAATAGTACAACTATATGGAAAGTTTGCAAAATGTTTTGACATTTTAGAAAAGATCCTCATACTCAAAAAAAAAAAGTTAGGAGTTATTGCAATACAGAATCGAACACAGACCAAAAGCTATTACTTTACCTTTAAGTTAGTTCAGGAACTTTTCAAAGATCTTTACATGTATATGCAACAAAACACTTTTAACGTCAGTGCTTGTTCTTCCATTGAACTTATTGCAGAAGGAGAAAGACAATAACTCCTCACTTATATGTTAACTTCAAGTATCTAGAACTTCATTGAAAGTCAGTAAGTAAGCAAAAAACATCTACAAGCAGTCCTTAGGCAAAGTGCTCAATGCCTTCAGACCTCACTTTCCTCATCTTTAAAGCAAAAGGGTTGGACAACATGATCTCTGAGGTCCATTTTCCCTCTGAGATCTACAAATAATTATGGAAAAACAGATATTAATAAGTCCATGCACCAAAGTTTATTTGCTTTACTTAGAGAAGAACTTCTGGGCCGCCATTTACATATATGTGTGTGTGTATATGTATAGTGTGTATATGTATACAAACATACATATGCACACACATTTTTTAAGTTGTATACACTTTTCTAAAGAGATTGGTTATCTGGTTTTCAGGGTTATCACAAACTAAATACAGTTACAGGAAAGTAGCAAGAAAAAATTGATAGGTAAGAGCAAAAGAGGAGAGAAAAATATATAAATAGCTGACTATAGACTTAAAGAAACTAAGGCTATTCTGAGGTTATTCAGTGTAGGACTATTCAACAAATAGTCTTACACAACTTTATAACCCCTATATCACAATATAACACAATAACTAATGATCATGATGATGACCCTGAATCAGTAAGGGGCAAACTATGTTATAGAAGCTATTTACAAAGACAGAAAAGTATATCATGTATTTTTTTTTAAAGGAAATTGGGGTTAAGTGACTTGCCCAGGGTCACACAGCTAGTTAAGTGTCAAGTGTTTGGTCTGAGGCCAGATTTGAACTCAGGTCCTCCTGACTTCAGGACCGGTGCTCTATCCACTGCGCCACCTAGCTGCCCCTATCATGTATTTTCAAAAACTTGCCATTTTTTTCTTTTCTTCTTTTTTTTTTTTTTTTTGCATGAGGCAATTGGGGTTAAGCAACTTGCTCAGGGTCACACAGCTAGCGAGAAAGCTTGCCATTTTTTTTGGAAAGGCTCCAGTAAAAAGTCTGGATGCTACGGTGAATGCATATATGTGTATATGTATGTGTGTGTGTATATATATATATATATATATATATATACACATATACACACACACACACACAAAAGCTCACTTATAAAGCTAATATTTCCATTTCCATTGAACTTATTGAGGAAGGGGCTAGATAATAACACCTCACTTATCTGGTAATATGAAAGAATCATTTCTGTGAAACATTTTGTTCCCCAAAATTGCCAAATAACAGAATTATTACTTCACATAGTTACAATGTAAAAAATAAACAGATCTAAAACATGTGATTGATGGTAGCAGTACATGAAATCTGGCTAACAGAGAAAGATGATTTTGGAATACATTCTCCCGAATTCCAAATTCACCACAGAAAAGTATAAAGTGGATGACAAATCTGCAACTAAAGATGCACATTCTGTCATACCATTATGCATTCACGTTCCAATATGCACCACAAGTCAAGAGCTTTTATGTCTAAGAATGCTCAGCCCCAGAACAGAAAAAATCACACCTAACAAATCATATGGCTTTAGAACATTTGATATTTAAATAATGACAACTTATAAAGTAATTTAATCAGAGAAATGTGTTCATAGTAATGTGACATTTTAAACAAAAATGACTAGTTAGGGAAAGACGGTTCTCTAACAAAAACAAATCAAAAAGATTAGCTTTGGAGGTTTCAGTATTTTGTATATGAATACCATTCAATATCATAGAATTTGTACACAATAACAAAAATAGCATAAATGACACTTTAAGGCTTAAACAGTAAATGTATCTCGTATCACATATATGAGAAATTCACCAAAGTTAAAATAAGACATAGTCTACAAAGATATGTTCACACTACAATGCTAAATAGTACAATCCTAGACAAAAGAGAAATCTTTGAGCAATTTGCTGAAATATTCCCCCCAAAACCTCAAGAATATCACAAAATGTTCAATTTTCAAAAGGCTATATGATACTCTCACTTAAGAAAATGTAGTCCATTAAACATTTTTGTTGCGATGCAGTCATTTTTCAGTCATGTCTGACTCTCTGTGACCCCATTTGGGGTTTTCTTGGTAAAGATACTGGAGTGGTTTGCCATTTCCTTCTCCAGCTCATTTTACAGATGAGGAACTCAGGCAAACAAAGTTAAGTTATTTGCCCAGACACAGTAAGTGTCTGAAGTCAGCTTTGAACTGATGAAGATGAGTCTTTCTGATTCTGGGCCTGGCACTCTATCCACTGTGCCACCTAGCTGCCCCTTCTACTATACGTAAATTATTACTATTATTATGCTTATTAATACTGTTTGTTAAATTTTCAAAAATAAAAGATATTTCTTTAGTGAAATAATCTGTGTCAGTAATTAAATGTAATGGCATTTACATTAGCTGTACAGGTAATTATACCACTACACTGTTAATTAATGGTAAGACAATACAATTTGGCTTGCTGAGTATTTTACTACTGAAAATTCTTATAAATAAAGAATTAGCTTTGACTTAGGAATTCATTTCCCTAACAAATAAAGTTGGCAGAACAAATATGTTCAGACAGTCCTCACTTTTCTCTGCCTTGTACTTTCCTGATGTGTTCATTCAACAGTATTTCACTTTTTTGCCAACTTCATCCATTCATTTATCAGCTTTAGGATCTGACTATCCAAAGTATTCCCTTTTCACCCTACATAAACTTGCCTTTCTCATGCAGAGAACCATCTACTTATGACAGCAGGTAGCTATTACTCATATATTACTCATATACTCATTACTCATAAAAATGTTATGTACTTCTTCCTTCTGTTTCAGACTGTTTTCCAGGAAAGCACTATAGCAAAAAAAAAAAAAAAAGCAGCGATTGCCTGTAATTACCTAGAGGATATTTTAGGAGGATGTACAAATGAAAGAAAATTACACCTTTTCAGAGTTGCTCTTACTTTGCACATACTGTCCGTTTCATTAAATTTCTGGCAATATCTTCTGAAGGAATGCTAAGAATCCAAAATGGAGACTGAAACAGAAATAATAAAAACAGTAAGATAATTTGGCTGTATGTGGCCCTAAGTTTTGGTACAGAAGAAGATAAAGAGAGTTCTAATTTGCCTCTTTTATGAGGAAAACCCAAAATCCTACAACCAACACCCAAACCTGACCTTTCTATAAAGACCAACTGAATACAATAGGAGAGCATTGGCAAACCAGCCCAAATAATGTTAAAGATTTCATTAAGATTCTTTCTCATTTACCCTTTATGCAGAAGCATCCATTTCTTAAAGACTGAATTGCAAACAATACCCTGGAATATAAATTACCTCTTGAATTATCCTACATGGAAATTAAGATAATAATAAGCCACATTTATTATCAGTGTTTGCAAAGCACTTAATAGTCTTCGAGAGAGCTTAAGGCTCTTGCCCAAGGGGATGTAACCAACAAATTTTTGAGGCAGAATTTGAAAACCAGGTGTCCCTCACTCCAACTGCAGCATTCCATACCATGCTACCTCTCCGAAGAGTATTTAAATGACATATCATTTGCCATTTTCTTATCCTTACAATTTTACTTTGGACTTTGCTACATTTAATTTCCCTTAAAGCACTGATCTTCCAATAATATCCTCTCTTCACCGGGGCCTGGAGTTGGCCCTGGGTTCTAGAAGAGCATGCCAGTAGAATGCACACTCCAGCAAGTCTAATCAACTTGAAAAAGTTTTGAGAATGGAACTGGTGGCAGAGTTTACTTCTGTCACTGAAGGATTGTCCTAGGTAAGTTCACAGAGACTGCCCCGAGCCACAGCATCTCACATAAATACTGGTGACAAATGCTTGGAAAACCTTTAATGTGCAATGGTACAAGAAATCCCTACAAATTATGGATCCATGAAATGTTACAGTAAAGTAGGAAGTCATTAAATATTTGCTGTTGTTCAGTCACATCCAACTCTCTGTGATCTCATCTGGGATCTTCTTGGCAGAGATACTAGAGCAGTTTGCCATTTCCTTCTCTAGCTCATTTTATAGATAAGGAAACAGGCAAACAGGGTTAAGTGACTTGCCCAGGATCACACAGCTACTGTGTGTATTATCACTTTACTTTCTTGAATAATGGCATACATTAAATTTAAAAATAAAATGCAAAAAGAAGTTTGCAGTCTAGTAGTTAATAATATTCATTCTAGTTCTTTAAAATCATAGTTAATCAATATTAGATAGAATTATCTTCAAAAGAAAGACGCTGTGTAAGAATTAAAGTCTTCTATAAGAAATGGAAAATTAAGTGAAAATAAGTCCAAGAGTAAAAAGAGAAGACTTTTTTTTAAAAAGGTCTTTACCAAGAGTTCTTAATCTGGGGTCCATAATCTTGTGTTGTTTCTTTTTAATTATTTTGATAAATGCATTTCAATATAATTAGTCTCATTGGTAATCCTATATATTTTGAGAATTCAAGTAAAAAAAAATATTCTGAGAAGGGATCCATAGGTTTCATTAGATTGCCAAAGGGGTCCAGGACACAAAAAAGTTTAAGAACCCCTGGTCTATACTAAGTAGGACACTTTTTCAAAATATGCTTTATCTTCTAAAAACACCTAAGATTTTAAAATGCTCTCACAAATATAAAATGTTCCAAAGAAAACTTAGTTTCTTCCAGTAAAAAGCTAGCATTGATATATACTGTGCACAGTCTTGTGAATAAGATAAACTCTCAACTTACATTTCCATGGATTTCCTGATGGCTGCTGAATCGACCTCCAAAAAGCGAAAGTAAAGACTTTATTTCCTGTTGTGAAAATTATAGGGGAAATTCAATTTATTCTTCATATTAAACCTGTTACAATTTCAATTACTACTTCTAAAGATTATGAAGAATTTCAATGTTTTTCCTCTAAAAATATAACCAGAATCTTGCAATACACATAGCAAATATATGTCTATGTGTGTATATACATAGATAGATAGATATAGATATGTAGTACAACAGTTTGATGAGGGAATTATGGGAATTAAATGAACCACACTGACTCTATCTTGTGAATCAATTCTGGATCTAGCTCAGTTCCCTTTCTATTCAGTTAAGGGGCTAGTCCAATTTTTGTCTTATAAGAAAACTTTATTAAGTTATGGGAATTGCATTATTTGTGTGGCTGGGAAGCAGGACCACATCCACCTGCTACTCAAGAGATCCTTAAGTAAGGACCAAGGTGATGCTGACCCGAAACCCAAGTCAGATCCAAAGATTAATATGAGGAGTTTTCTCACAACTATACATCTCAAGCAACCCATATGTCTTATCTGTAAACGGGCCCTGGACTAGCCAACCAGTTACTGTTTCCATGTTTCTTTGATTGAATATAGGCACTTTGAGGAAGCGAAACACCTCTTTTTCTTATTTTCTGGGAATTGCACCTGTTTGGTCTCTCCTTCCCAACATGGAAAACCCCTAATCTTTCTTCCAATTAGAAATCAAATTACCTAATAGTATATCCTGTTTTGCATCCTGTTTATTGTTATCCTTTAATGCATAAAATCTGTCTCCTCCTGCATTTGGGGTCCAATGCTAACCTGAGGAAGGCCTGGTCCCAATTTCTTAGAAACTGGCATGTATTGCTTAATAAAGTGAAATGCTCCAAAGATCAAATCTGTTTCCTCAGTCAATTATTCTTTCACAAGCCACAGTGAAATTTAGTGTGGCATGTGGATAGAACTGCCCTTGGAGTCAGGAATGCCAGGTTCAAGTGCCACCTCTGACACAGATGGGCTTGTGTTACCATGGACAAGTTTTTAATCTCTCAGTGACTCAGGAAGCTTATGAATATTACAAATTGCAGATACATTGCTGATTAACATTAGAAAAAGGAATTTCTACACCAGGAGTTCCTAATGAGTGAGATTGGTGAAGACCTCTCATAAAATCTAAACTTAAATGAGTAAAATAAGGTAAAGACCCGTAATAATAATATATGTGTATCCAGGTCAGGAAGGTTGTAAATAGCCCGGATAAATATGTTCAAATTGTTGCAAAGACAAGTATAACCGCAAATTGTTCCAGGAACTGAAATGAATAAATAGGATATACCAAGAGGATACTTGAAGGGGGTGGGCAGGTACAACCAGTGTAACGATTCTGTAATTTCCACTGCTGTTGCTGGGGTAGTTTTGCCACCTTTAGACTGCGCCCTCTGAAGGCCAGCCAATGGGATAAGAGGTAAGGGTTAGGCAGGGGTTGCGGTTAGAACCTATAAAAATGCTTGTTTGGCCAACACCACCCCGGTCTTGCATTGAACTACCTTTAGGTGCCAGTCGCCCTTTCTCACGAGATCGGAATAAAATCCTTTCTACTTTCTACCTGGAGAAGCCTCTGAATTAATCTGGGTAAGGGTCGTAGCTGTCCCACACACCAACAACAATGAAATTACACATTTAGAGAAAACAAAAATAATGGGAGATAATGTAACGATTGGGCAAAATGCTTAACCGAAGTAACCATCACCAGCACTCAATTTCTTCACTCTTACTCCAGGGCTTCTTTGTAATTGGAAAAAAAAATATATGCAGTCAAGATGATTTCACTCAATATATATAATATGTATATGTATACATAAACACACACATACACACACACATATATGTAAAACAATAATAATAACAATAACAGCTAACATTTATATAGTGCCAGGCACTATGCTAAGCATTTTACAATTATTATCTCATTTGATCTTCACAACAAGCCTGGAAGGTAGGTACTATTATTTTCCCCATTTTACAGATGAGGAAAATGAAGCTAACAGAGGTTAAGTGACTTGCCCAAGTTCACACAACTAGTAAGTACCTGAGGCTAGATTTGAACTCAGGTCTTTCTGGGTCCAAATCCAGAGCTCTAGCCATTGTACCCCCTAGCTATACAACTTAAGATGATCCTTACTCTAACTCTACCTTAACCACTCCTCATCTCATTCCAGAGAGCAACTACTGTAAATGTTCTGACAAACTCACCTCCCTAAACCCTTTAGAGCAGATGACTGTGCATATTTCTTTGAGAAGGTGGAAGTCATTTGGTTTATACTCCATCAATTCAGTTCAACCCAACAAACATTTACAAATCTCCTATTATGACCAATGATAAAGCATGCTACCCACATCCTGACAAAGTGGTGATGTACCCAAGATGCAAAATAAAGTACATATTTTCAGACTTGGCCAATGAGGGAATTTGTTTTGCTGGACTCTTCATATTTGTAACAATAATTTATTTTGTATATGGGGAATGGGAGAGAGAAGACTAGAGTAGGCCAAAAAGTAAAATAAAAATAAAAATCAACTGATCAGAGTGGGGGAGTGTGACTAAGCCCGTGACCAGCCTATGCAATTTCTGTTTGGGTGAAATAGGGAGATTCAGTCTTTAAAAAAAATAAATAAATAAAGAATTCCCAGAAGTGAAGGCCAGAAAGAATCACAAACAAGCAGAACTCTGAAAGTTACACACTGAATTTATTATAAATTTTCAAAAAAAAGAAAACTGTACAAAACAGAGATTCACAGTTTCATGTGCCATCCCTTTTTCCTACTGTACTGTGTAATTTCCTAGTATGCAGGAAATTATCATTTTATTCAATATCTAAGTTCAGAACATTTTTAAAGATGCTATCTAAAACACTATGTTAGGTACCAGGGATATAAAAAAGGCAACATTCCCAGGCCTAAATTCTTCTAGAGAATATACTGTATATACAAATGACATGACACAAATGCTGATGAGAAGACAAGGTAAAAGACTGGATGCCTCATCTAAGGAACAGCAATTAAGCCACTTTAGCCAGAGAATAGAGTGCATGGAGGAGAGTAATAAAAAACAAATCTAGTTAAGTCAGACAGTGATTTTTATTATTAATTATTAGTTATATAAATCACTTTCCTAAATTGAACCATCTTTACATTTTCAAACTGGGAGCTCAAGTGCCCACACTGGGACCCTGGGTTTGCGATTAGTGAGCATTCTCTTTACCGTACCCAGCCCCAGACCTACCTTGCCATGTCCCAGCCACATCTAAGCTGAGCTGCTGCCATGCTCCTCCTTCCCCTACTTCCACCTCTAACTCTAAGAAAAGTAATCAAATTACACTACCAATTCTAAAAAGGATTTGCTCTAAGGGCTCAATCACCATTTTACTTACTTCCAAGTCCAAAACACTCTTCCATTCTTCCTGGTCCAACACTCCTCTATGCATACTAACTTCCCCTATCAGAATGTTAGTATTTCAAAGGCATGGACTGTCCAGACCAGGAGTGGGGAACTTGTAGTTCAAGGGCCACACTTGAGGCCCTAGAGGGCCACATGTGGCCTCAAAGCCGCAAGTTCCCCACCCCTGGTCCAGATTATTTGTATCAGATTCTCCAGCTCTTAATGTGCCTGCTGGCCCATGATGAACACTATCCATTCTCTCATTCCTAGTATGATTCCACCCTGGTCATAGTGAAAAATTTGTAATGCTGTGCTATAGTCATTTTGCCAATATTTAATTTAATATTGTGTATCAATATTTATTAGTATCACTGGTCTCTGCTTTCTCTGTTCAAAACCACACTGAACTCATAAATGAATCAAATAAAAGATGCCTTTCTTCCCCATTTCTTAAATAAAGCTCTTTATCCTGGAAGTTTCAATACATCCTTGGATGTCTCACATTGGAAGTACCTTCTTTTCCAGCATCCTCTCCCTCTGATTGGCTGGTTCCTCCTAGAACCCCCATTTTAATGAGGAGGCCCAGACATCTCCAAGAGGCAGATATCTAAACATTGTCTTCAACTCCTCTCCTCCCCTACCCTTTTAAATATTTTTATTGTGCTTTTTTCTCTCATTAGAATGTAAGCTCCTGAGGGTAGGCCCTGTCTTTTTGACTGTTTAGCATAATGCCTGTTGCCAGTTAGTAGAAGCTTAATAAATTATTGTTGATGACTTTAGGGAACAAGGATATATATATTTTTAATGTTCAACAGAATTCACTTTAAAATTTATCTAAGCAAGGAATTTTTAACCCCTTTTGAAGTTCATTTGTTGCTTGTTCAATTTCTGAAATTGAGCTGTTTAGATTCTTTGTTTCCTACATGTTTTTTTTAATAGGAGTATATCATATATTTGCAAATGTTCATCCATTTCAATTAAATCTTTGCTTTTGTTGGAATACAATTGCCTCTAATAGTTTCTGAAAATATATTTCCTCTTAGAACCAGAACGTGGCCTGTTTTAAATGCCATACTGACAGACCTGCATTTTATGCGAGAGACAATCCTAGGACTCATTAAAGATTTTTTAAGAAGGAGAGTGAAGTAGTCATATTTATATCTAAAGATTAATTCTGGTACAGATATAGAGAATTGGAAGGTAGAGAAATTGGAAGCAAAGAGTCTGATTAGGAAGCTATTAGAATAATCCAGGCAAGTGATGATCAGACACTGAACTAGGGCAGTAGCTGGATTAGTTTAAAAAAAAAAAAAGATAAGTGATGAGTGATATGGTAGAAGTAAAACCAATGACATTTGGCAACTGGTTAGATTGAAAGGCTGAGTATATGTCTTCTTCTTCTATAAACTGAGAGAAGGAAATGTCCCTTGCATATAAAAGGCAAATATTTATTGAAATCAACTTTTCATTGTGTTGATAATCACTGTGAGAAGAAATGAGGTCCCACCTGGCCCTCCTACAAACTGCCACATTCAAAACCTCAGGGTCATCCTGACTCTTCCCTCTCCCTCAGCCCCCATTCCCAATACTTTTGCCTGGCATTCAAGGTTCTCTATGATCTTATGCACCCTATCTTCCTCATCCTCTACCTTCCACACATTCTAGCAAAAATTAAGTACCCAAACACATACTTCCCTCCATGCTTTGATACCTTGACTCATACTGTTCCCTATTCGTAGAATGCTCTCTCTGCCCAGTTCACCTACAGAATTCCTGAACAAATATTAAATCTCAATTCAAATGTTAATTTTTCCACAAAGAGGACCAAAAGCTAGGATTAAAACACAGGTCTTCTGATACCAAATGTAACACCATTTTCCCCACACCATGTGACTACTTGCTGGTCCCCCCCCGAAGAATCCAGAAGCCTTGCAGACCTCAATTGGATAATAAGGTGTGTTGTCTTTTTGCAATATGTATCTGAGACATAATGTATAACCAATGCTTATCAAATTCACCAAGTAGGCCAACTACCACTTCTACAGATACACGTCAATAAGACAAACACCTATGATGTCATCAGGGCAGGATCTCCCAATGTGAAAATTTCCTCCACTGATCCAGATCAAAACCCAGCTATAATTTGCAGTCTTAGGCAACTGTCTACACAAGTTGCCTGAAACTTTAAAGAGGAAAATAGATTTGCCCATGGTAAAAACTTGTAGATGTAATAAGTGGCATTTAAACCTGTGTTTTCTGACTTCACATTCAGCCCTCTGTCTATTATGCCTAGCTGTCTCTCCACCGCTGATGAAGTGAGAATAATACCAGCCAAAGAAGCCTAGATTGTAGCTTTCATGAATGAATCCCAGGTTGGTTGGGATTGGAAACTAGATGACATTCCTCTAAATGAATAAGTGGCGTTTTCATCTTATCTTCAGGCAATGACATGGTATATAAGAAGTGAAAAACTAGCTATATGGACAGTGCGACTATGAGTAAAATCCATCTATAAACTGAAAGGTGAGTATTTCCTTTGCTCTCTCTGAACATACCATTCTATTGCCCTGGAGGTCACCTCTCTTTTATTCCAGTCTTTGATTTAAAGTCCTTTTCCTCTCCAAGGACAACCATTTTACATGACCTCTGGATCCCATTCCCTCCTACCTTCTCCGACAGATTGCCACTATCATTCCCCTTCACTCTATCCTTCAATCTTCTCTAATGCTTCCTTCCCTGTTACCTATACACAACCAAGTCTTCCCCAGTATTAAAGACTCTCTCTCACCAGATCCTACCATCACCAACAGCTATTGTCCTATAGCTATCCTTTTTTTCTCAATTAAACTCCTTGAAATAGCTATTTATTCTTGTCATTGTCTTCTGAACACTACAATCTAGGCTCCAAAGTCAACCTTTTACTACCTTGGTGTCACCCTGAATTCCTCTCTCTCACCTCACATATTCAATCAGTTGCCAAATTTTTTCTATCTCCATACCACCTCTCTCATACTCAAAAAGTCACCACACCTGCTTAGGCCTTCAGCCCCTCTCTCCTACTGTCTTCTCACTGGTACCCTCCCTACTCTAATCCATCCTCCACAAAGCTGTGAAAGTAATTCTTTTAACCTGCCAATCTGACCATATCTGTCTCTGACTCTGTCTCTCTCAGCTTCAGTGGCTACATATTACCTTTAGGACCACATATGAACTCCTGTTGGGCATTTAAAATTTTGACTCTTTCTTTCCTGGCCCCATCCTACCTTTCCAGCCTTCCTAAACATTACTCTTCATCATACACTCTATAGTCTAGCCATAGTGGCTTTCTAGATCTTACACAAAATGCTTCATTTCCCCTCTCTCCATGACTTTGCACAAGCTGTCCTCCAGGCCTGGAATACTTTCCTTCCTCACCTCATGTCTTGCAATACTTGGCTGGCTTCAACACTCAGCTCGAGTGCCATCCTCTGCACAAGGCTTTTTCTGGGTCACTTAGCTGCTAGTACTTTCTTCCTCTAGGTTCTTCTGTTTCTGCTATCTGTTCTGTGTATACCTACATAAGAGCATCATGTCTTCTGCTTAGATTGTTAACTCCTTTGAGGGTTGAAACTGTTTGTCAGGACCATCTTGGGATTCTATATTCAAAATGGCTTTGACATTGATCTCTTCCCTTTCAATTCTCACAATCTGCACAACTGGCTAGGAGTTCATCCTAACCAAGAAGTTCAGGGCTTTATTACCTACCAAAGGAACATCACAAGTATTGTCAATGTGTTGCCCCATTAGAAAGAGTACTGGATTTAGAGCCAACGAATAGAGTTCAAATTCTGGCTCTACTACTTACTATGTGGCCCTGCTATCTGTAAGTGACCCTGGGCAAGTCACTTCCCTTGTCGGTTTCCTCATCAGTAAAATGATCAGATTGAACATTGGAAAATGATCTTCCAAGCCCCTTCTACCCTTAATTCTACACACTGTAGCTATGCCTGAAAAAGGAGGGCCTGGCATAATTAGAATACTGGAAATCTGAAGAAGACTCAGGTGCTCTAGCTCTACTAGACTGTGTGCAATCTTAGGTGAACCCAACCTTTCTAGAACTCAGTTTTCTCCATTAGGTTGTGAGGCTCAAAAGAGATAATGGATCTTTGAGCTCTATGAAAATGCAAATTATCCACCAGTAGCCTAGCCTCTAGGGTACAGGTTCATAGATTAAGAACTGGAAGGGACTCTGGAGCTCAACAACTCCACTACACTAGGTGGCGCAGTAAACAGAACGCCAGGCCTGGAATAAGGAAAACTTGAGTTCAAATCCAACCCTGGGCACTTAGTAGCTGTGTGACTCGGACAAGTCATTTAAGCCTGTTTGCCTCAGTTTCATCTGTAAAATGAACTGGAAATGGCAAATCACTCCAGTATCTTTGCCAAGAAAACCCCAAATAAGGTCGAGAAGAGTCAACAAGACCTAACAGCAACAAATACACTGCTTTAAGGTTTGCAAAGCTCTTTTCACATTATTTCATTTAATCCTCACAACCACCTAGGGAGGTTAGGTGCTACTATTCTCCCTTTTTTTTTTTTTCTTTTTTACAGATGAGAAAACTAGGGCTTAGGGTGATTAAGTGACATAGCTGGTGATCGTCTGAAACAGAATTTAAACTCAGCTTTTCTTGATGCAAGTCCCAACGCTCGTTCCACCCACCTGTCCCAATGCATTTTATAATTGAGGAAACTGAGGCTTAAAGAGGTGAGGCCATTCGACTTAATTAATGTCAGGGCTGGGAAATGAACTACAAATCCAGCCTTCTTTCCACGTGGCCTCCCATCTCTGCATCTCTCTTAGTACCAAGCACCGTTACCATACACACAGTAAGAGCTTAATAAATGCTTAACAGACGAAACGAAAGTAAGGAATGGTGGATGGACTTGGAACTGTTTCCCTAACAGCCCCGGGACCTGGCCCTGGGGGTGGAAATAAGGGGCCCCTCAGTTTTGGCTGGAAACACGTGCGGGGGCAGGGCACTGTGCCTTAAATTAAGCCGCCGGAGACAGGCGGGGGTAAAAAGGCGGCACTCTCAGAGCGGCACGCGCACGCGCGTTCCCTCTTCCTCCCCATCTCCCCCGTCCGCCACCCCACGAGCCCCGCCCCCGCGACCACCCTCCGAATGATGAGGCTGCGCGCGCCGTCCCTCCTCTCTAACCTCCCACTCTCAAACAACACGAGGAGGAAGCGCGGCACTGACCGGCAGCCGGAACTCCAGGTGCTCCTGCGCCAACAGCAGCAAGTATCGGTTCAGCGTGCTGGGAAGCGCCATGTTCCGCCGCCGCCGCAGCCTCCTCCTCAGGCGGCTCTGTGCGCATGTGCGGAGCGGGGCTTGGGCGTGGTCGTGGGATCCGAGGCCACGCCTTCTGTTGGGGTGAGGAAGAAACTGTCCTGGGAGGCTGAGCCTAGAGTATATTACAGTAGCACCCACTTCTCCTCATTTTAACAAACACTTATGTTTAAAAGCTTTTTAGTGTTTTCTTATCTCCTGGATTTATCCCGCATCCCTCTCCCCTCCTCGCAGAAAGCCATTCCTTAATGGTAAAGAATTTTTAAAAATCAGCTAAACCAATGAATCTGTATTTTTCTGCAGTGTCCCATACCCATGGACCACCCTCCTTGCAAAAGGAAGGGGGGAGGCATCTTCTTATCTCTCTTTTTGGGGGAGGGTGAACTTTCAACCAGAATTAATTAAAGTCAAAGTGTATTGAAGCCCACTGAAGCCAATTGTTAATTTTTCAGGGTGAGCATTTATACCTGGTATTGTGCAGTCCTACAAATAAGAACCTGATTGTCTAGATTTTAAAAAGTGTTAATAATGCAGATTAAAAGTGTTTGTGCATACATTTCCCCCCCACCTCACAGCCCTCCATAAACATTTACCAGCGTGCTCCTATTTTGCTCTATAAATATTGCCTAAGCTTAGCAGGAGTGCTGAAGTGATGTCATCACCAGACTAGAGGCCTGGTGGCTACAGCTTAATAATCATCATCATAATAATAGTGAATTGCACTTATAGAGCACTTTAAGATTTGCAGAGTGTTTTATATACATTATCTCATTTGAGCTTCACAACACTACTGATTAAGCCTATAAAATACCAAGCACTCTGCTAGGTGATGAGGTACAGAAGGAAAAAACAACAGTCCTTGAGTTCAAGAAGCTTAGTCTGGGGAAAGGAGGGAGGAGGGAAGACAGTACTTGTACATGGATAGGGAAGATAGGAATGGTCAAATAAATTTGCTCTGCACTCAGTTAATTATTTAGATAATGTCTCAGGCAAGGAGAGGAGTGGACACAAGAAGTGAATGACTAAAGCTACTTACTACTTAAGTGACATTAGGAAAGTTATTAAAATGAGGGTGCTGGATTAGCTAATAACTAAGGTCCCATCCAGCTCTCATCTTATGCTTCTATGGTGATGACAAGAAATGGGGAAATTGGGAAGGAGAACCAGTTTGAGGTTTGGAACATGTGAAGTTTGAGGTGACCACAGGACATGGAGCTGAGTTAGGCAAGAGGTCAGGATCTTCTCCTTTCCTATGGCTTCAGGTGCTTTGGGGAGAGTGTTAGGTCTAGAGTCAGAAGACTTCGGTTCAAATCCTAATACATGTGTGACTTTGGGCAAATCATTCAATCTCTCTGGGTTTCAGTTACTTCAGTAATGTGGTGGGGCAGGAGTAAACTACATGAACCAAGGTCCCTTCCAGCTCTGAAATCTATGATCCTATGACTTTTATGTGAATGACTACCAAACCTATGTTTCTAATTATAACTTCTCTCTAATGCTCTGATCCCAAATTTCTGCCTACTGATATCTCCATTCAACATGCATGAAACAACATTTCATCTCCCTCACCTCTCTCCACCCTTAAACCAGTTCCTCCCAACTTCCCTATTTCTACTGTAACCACTAGTCATTTTTAACTCATCCTGTAAGGGTCCCAGCATTTCAGGCATTCCAGTGTCTTGGGTAAACTAACAATATTGAGACAAAATAATCAAGGATTAAAAATGAATTTTAAAAAGAACTAGGCAAAATCAATCTGCAATTTGCCAAGCAAATAGAATGTAATCTGCAATGTATATTTTCACCCCTTTGCAGTAAATCTTGTTCCTTTAATAGATACAAAGAATTATACAGTGTTAGAGCTGGAAGGAACTTTAGACATAATCTAGGATCTACTCCCTCACTTTACAGATAAGAAAATTGTCTACTCTGTAGTGATTAATTGTGCAACCAAAGAGCTAAATTGTTTGCTTAGACATAGAAAGAAAACAAAGGAGTCTACAAAATATATACTAAACTACCAAATGAACTAATTGTCATAATAGTTATTAATAAAGGACTTCATAATTAACAGAAATATGAGGATGTTTATAAACTGAAATTTTGCATTCCTGGTATCTGGCCCACAGTAGACACTTAATAAATATTTGTTGATTGATTAATCAATGAGCAAGACCAGAGAAAGAAACAAGTTTAACCTAATAAAGACCAAACATTAAGAACTTACTCCCATCTTCTGTATTTCTTTATTGTGTGGTTAATTTTACTTTTACAGCTAAAAATCTTGATGCATATTAATAACTGACATGATAATCTGTTAAATACAATAGCTCAAAAACAGTTGGTCTTTGACCTTAAGGAACTCCTTAATATATCCCTTAATAATATATCCCCTACCCCCTTTACAGAGATCTCCAAAGATACCAAACCTAAGAATTTATTTCATTTGTCTAAGACAGGAGTTCTTAACCTGGATAGATTTTGGAAGGTCCATGAACTTGGATGGGAAAAAAATACTGTATATATTTATTTTCACTAAGCTTTCACTGAAATTTAGCATTTCCTTCATTTTTTCAAAATAAAATGTTATTCTGAAAAGAGGTCCTTTGGTTTCACCAGATTCACGAAGCAGTTTTTTGTCCTGCTTAAGAGGCATTTTACATTTCATCTTGGCTCTGCACTGTACAAATAATTCCCTCCAAGTCCGGGTCATCTAACGATCCATGCCTCCTCTGTAACTCCTCTTAAAAGTGGTCATCCTATCCAATCTTAGAGCTCCTGCTACTGCTATTCAGCTCTAATGAAGGAACCCAGAAGTTCCAGCTTCCTAAACTCATGAGACTGCTTCCAAGACTGGAAATTGCCATCTGAAAATCACTGTTTGGTCACCTATGCTCAGGAAAGAAATCAAGCAGAAAAGATAGTCAGGGATGTTCATCTCACCTAGCCAAGTTCCTACTTTAGCTGCCCTGAACTTGCAGATGATAAGCTGCTGGGGTGGAGGGAAGGGCAGTCACCCTCCCCACTTCTACTCCCCTTCCATCCTCCTCTCTCAAGAAGCCTAAGGAAAGAGAGCCTCTTGACAAAGGCTGAGACTGTTTGGAGAAGTGCTAGAGGAATGGACATTAATGCCTACTGTAATATGCATGAACATCATACTGTTTTCCTACTTTAAAAAAAATGTTATGGGGGAGGATGGAGTGTTTTTAGTGATATATATTTATCTTATCAACCAATCAACAAGCATTTATTAAGTATCAGGCATTGTACAGGAACTGGAGACCCAAATACGATGAAGCGTTCCTCCTCTCAAGGAATTTACATTCTAATAAAGGAGATAACAAGTATATTTATAAGTGCATACAGGATAAATATAAAGATAATAAATACAAGTAAATACAAAAGTTAAGGTAGTTTGAGAGAGAGGACACCGGCAGTTAGGAGAGGAAGGGAAATCAGAGAAGGTTTTGTATAGAAGTTGGTGCTTGAGCTGCCTAATGAAGGAAGAGGGATTCTGTGAAGCAGAGAGAAAGGGGTGCATCCCAGGCATCAAGGATAGCCAATAGAAAGGCACTGAGATAAGAGATAGAGTAAGGCACTGAAGAAACCAAGAAGGCCAGTTTGTTTGGATCCCAAAGTTCAGGAGAGATAGTAAGGTACAATGAGGCTAGAAAGATAGATTGGGGCAAGGTTGTTTGAAAGCCAAAGAGCAGAGTTTACATTTTATCCTAGAGGTGATAGGGAACCTTACTGAGTAAGAGGAATTACATGGTCAATTTAGCACTTGAGGAAAATTCCTCTGGCAGCTATGTGGAAGATGGCTTGAAACAGATAAAGACTTGAGGCAGAAGAAATCAATTAGGAGGTTGCTGAAATAATATAGGTGAGGAGGACCTAAGCTATGGTAGTGACTGTGTAAGTAGAGAAGACTCAGACGTGAGAGATATTGGAGAGATAGAAATAGTTAGATTTGACAGCTTCTTGGAATATAAGGCAAGGGAGAGTAAGGAGTCAGGAATAACCTCTGGATTATGAACCTGAATCACTGCGGGGGAAAATGGTGGTGCCTTCAACAGAAATAGGGAAATTTTTAAAAGGGGTGGAGGGGAGATAAATAATGACCTCTCTTTTGGACATGTTTAGTTTGAGATGTCTGTGGAACATCCTTTTTAAATGTCCAATAGGCAGTGATGTAGGACTTAAGCTCAGAGGAGGGTTGGGAACTATATATGTATACACATATATACATGCACACATACATACATATACAAATATATTATGTATACATATTTGACTGGCTATCCTCTGCAAAGAGATAATTAAAGCCATTAACAATAAATACTTGATTTGGTGTTCCAGCTGAGTTCTAGTGCCAGCACAAGCTCTATAACCTTGGATAAATCATTTCACTAGAACGAATAATTTCCTCTTCTGTAAAATACTGGACTTAGGCTTAATAAAAGGATTTGTTCAGTAAAACTTGAACTCAGTTAAAATGCTGCACCCAAGGACCTAGAAGGCCACATGTGGCCTCGAGGCCGAATGTTCCCCACCCCTGGGCTAGAAGATGACCTCTAAGGTTCTTTCCAACTCTGAAATTCTATGATGCTTCAATATAACAAAAAAAAATTCAAGGTAAAAGAAGCTCTATTTTTGCTTATGAATCCTCTTTTACAATCTTCCCCTCTCAAATTCTGCATTACCCCTCTCCCGACTCCTCTCTCATGTTATCTTTTATACTCTTTGTTACAGTCTAAACTACAAACACCAGGTAACAAAGCCCTCTCTAAATAACGTTTTCTATTCAAGTCTTTTGAACTCTGTTGAGCTTCATCCACCTTAAAAAATAACGGAGGATATAGAAATCCCACCTTATTTTAGTCACTGATGTGTGGCTCTATAGGGATTGGTCAGTTCTACTGTCCATCTAAAATGAGATCTGCTGCATTGAAAAGAGTGCCAGGATGAGGAAAGATTGCAGACTTTAATCTCTACTGCTGAAAT